GTCCTCTTGATAGTAATGTAGGCAATAGACATTAATACTTAATTCGGTAAATAATCTTATCCAATAAATTTTTATTTTTACAATTTACTGTATATAAAATATTTTGTATTTATTGGTGCAAAAATCAACAATAATAATAACGGTTGTTCTTACCGAAATGGTTTTAGTCTAGATTAATTCAGGAGACTCGATTTTCCTTAAAATATTCCGATTTTCAGATATATTTCCATAATTTAACGTTTTCCAGGGTTTGTGTCATTTTTATGTCTTTTTCGACCACTTTGCAGCATTACATGGGAATGGGCTGGCAATTTTTCGTGACTGTACCACGTTATCACGTTACTCCATAGACTTAGGAATTATCAGGAAAGTGAAAAACAAGGAAGGGAGATTTAGCCTTTTGTTAGCACAAAACATTATTTGAATTTCCTTTTCCATTTCGGTTCGCCTAACATTTAAAAATTTTATAGGAAGCCATCATACCATTCCTCAGTAGCCCCAGATTAAGAACCCTAATAGATCGCCAAGACATATAAAATAGTTCACAATGTACAGCTACTATACTATCCTTCCCTCCTAGGAGTATGAAGGACTGTATTGTATAAAATATAGACCAAGAGTGCCCATACTCCCAAGGTCCATGGCGCAAGAACGTATCCCTCTCCTCCTACCAAGATCTTTTATTGCTCACTTTTCTCAAAAACATAACAATCTAAGATATAATTAGAAAAATCAAAGAACATATACAATTACACTTGCTATGGCCTGTTTCATGTTTTACCCTTGCTCCTTAATCTGAAAATTCATAACCCCATCGAAACTTGCACCCTATCAAAATATGGCCAATTCAAAAGTTTGTTTGCGCCATGAAATCCCATTCGGGGCACCTCTAATGTAAACCATATTCTACTAACATTTCTTGTCATGGCTTTCACCCTCATTATTAATTCAGAACTTCAAGAATTTGCATTATTAATCATGAATTATTTTTTGGTGATGAATCTCTAGTATTTCAGAAAACAGAAAAGCGTACGAAACTGAAATTACGTATTGATTAATAGTAATGAGAGTATGCTTGAGATTTTACAACTTTTTCACAAAAATCAACCAACTGAAACTGGCACTTTATAAAACCGAATTTACACATTTTTACTATTTTCTTGAAAATGGTGAAAAACTCTGATTAAATACTTTATATTAATAATGATTTATATTAATAATTCAGATATTATTTTCATTGAAATACTGTGGCACAGCTATTTCCAAAATGCCAAATGAACTCAATTTATTCTCCTTAAGTGCCTTTAAATTTTGTTTATAAAAATAATTAACCATTTCACATTTTTACTATAAATAAAAACTAAGAAAGTATTTAATAATTAATTAAAGAAGAAACGAGGTTTAGCATAGTCTATTAAAAAAGCAAAAAAAAAAAAAAAGTTGGGATATTCCTTTCTGAATTATGGGTTGAAATACGAAAATTCAACTTGCACCTGTAAAATTCTGAACTTTCAATTGACTTTTTTCCTGAATATGATTTTTGAACTTGACATACTACGCACAGGTGCCAAAGAAATGTAATATAATAAAACAGAAAGCTTATCTGTTCAGCCAAGTATCTTTGCAACTGTGCCAGCCTGAGTCTACATAGCAACTCTAGTATAAAGTAAAACCACCTTAATTTGCAAGTAGCGAGAATTATTTGGACCAAGCACTAAAGATTTTTACATTTAAATAAAGGTTTTTAACTTAATTTAGATTTAATGGAGCAAAGAGGAACAGCTGTCCCTCTCCTTCCTTCCAAAACAGAAAAATATAAAATAAAATAGCTAAAAATATAAACAACAAATTTCTCAAGAATTAGTTAACAGTAAAGATTTATTTATAATGCTCCTCACCAGTAGAAGGTTGTTCATTATTCAATTTGGGGGAGACAATACTTTTTTTTTAATCATGCTTATTACAGGAAGAATAATGCTTTTAAGGATAAAATATTTATATTTTATCTCGACACATGTCTACATTTGATAGCTGTAGTACATAGGTTATAATTTAAAATAGAACATAGAGTGATTCATTAAGGATTTGGCTCAGATAATCCATAGCAATGAATATGCAGAAATAACGAAAAAAAATTATTTCCATATGCATTAATGTGTAAATTAAAAAAGAGAGAAACAGTAATCGGTGGAGCTAAGAAACATTTTCTAATAGAATAAAGTTTATTTGGTTAGTAGTACTGCCAGGAATAGCACTAAAAAAAATAACACAGATAAGGCAATAGAGGAAAACAACTAATGTAGGCAATATGAACAATGCAAGAAGGCATACTTATTAAAATAAATAACAACCCTTTTTAGGTAATCAAAGTATTTCATGCTTATTTATAGTACTTCTTTATTCAAAATTTAAGCATTACCTAATTAATATAAAAACAATCAACTATTTATTTACATTAGCTTTTATTTTTCTCGATTGACCTCCAGGGATAACCAAAGTACAGCCTGGAAGTGCCTCCAATCCGACCCATGAAAATTTCTTTGGTTGCACGGTAAAATTTAAAAAAACATGAAATTTAGTAAATCACTTAAACGCAAGGTTAATACTAAGAGACTAACTCATGCAATAAGTGTTGACTTATTGCATGAGTTAGTCTCTTAAAAAGCTCATTTCAGAACTGAAGTGTCATTTATAGAACAAGCTTATTTTTTTTTTTCAAAATCCTTAGGTGCTCCAACCAGAGAAAGCAAGTCATTTTAGGGACCACTTACTTAGAAAAAAAAAAAATCAAAAATAATTATTTAAAAGGGAAAATGAAAATATTTCAAATCTGGGAATTAATAACATACACACATTTCAAATTATTTTATTACGGCAAGATAAATACAACTAATTTGGTAATTAAAACTGATGAAATTAGAAAAATAAATACACAACATAAAAATTGATACTAAAGTCAGGTGAAATAAAACTAAAATTCATTACATAAGGCCCTCAGTTTAAACACACAAATATGTAAGCACTCATATAAATGTTTAAAAAGAAAAGTACCATAACATAGAGTAAACTTTAGAAATTTCAATTATAATATAATTAACACTAATGATTAATAAAATGAATATTTCATATACACGTTATAGTCTTCCGAGATGATTCCTTTCTAGTGAAATCCTAAATTTATTTCATGACTTGTTTTTTTAAGGCTGTCATTAATTAGTAATTTAGAATTATTTTAAATTTTTTTAAGAAATGAAATAATAAAATCAATAATAATTATTATTAATTATATTTCAAATAATCTGACTGAAGGTTCTAATGAATAGAGGTGATCGCTAGAAGAACTACATCCAAATAAATATCATATTTTTTTCACATCTTATATTTATTTATTTATTACCTTATATAATTCAAACACATTCAACAAAGCCAATTTTTTTTAACAGTAAGGTCTAAAAGAGATTAAAAAAAAAGTCATCAATCAAATGAAAGTATAATTTCTCGCTAGCCTACTTAACTTATTGAAGTAATCCCAATATAGGTAGAGAGAAATTTTATTAATGCAAAGAAAGAAAGAAAACTCTGTATACCTTGGAAAATAGCTTTAACAGCCAGTCAAATTTCATAACAGTGAATCTAAGAACAATTTCTTGTTTATTGGTAACCAAAACATAACAAGCTCATCATCACTTCATATCAGCGATTAGAAAAAAAATTAGAGGTGTTGATTAGAACGAGTATATATATTTTCATATTTATATTCTAAGCAAATATATTACAGTAAAATATTAATATGTACCCTGTCATACATAACCATTGAGAAGTGTTTGGTTTTTAGGATAATATAATCAGCCTTATGGAGAATAATAAAATAAAAAAAATTAATGTTTCAGTCTTGAAAATCCAATCGTTTTAATAGAATATGAAGAATATTTAATTTTTCCAGTCCCGTTCTTAAGAATGGAAACAATATATGTGGTAGCAAACATACCTACAAACTTTAAGTTTTACTAAGATAAAAATTTTAACTCATAGAAAAACATGTTTTGAAATTTATAAACAAAAATGTTAGATCTTTAAATATTATTGGAATGTGACATTACAAAGTCTTTTGAAAAGTTAAACAGTTCACCTATATAATTTAGATGGTCATGTCTAGAAAAATTCAGGAATTAGTAGTTAGCAACATAAATTATAGGGTACAGTAGGTATGAAATTTGGTAATGACTATACAATATTAGATTAAAACTGTGGTTGCAAATTAATTTTTTAAAGATACTTTTTAATCTTGAGAATACATTAATTTGATGTTGATTTAAAAGTAATACATTATACTAAATAAAATATCCAAGGAGAGTAGGATGAAAAAAAAATATGTTAAATAATTATTAAAAGCAAAATGTATTATTATCTGAATTATCTGCCTCAGACTTAATGAAAATAATGAAAATGTATTATAAATTTTAAATAATACTAAGTGACTTAAACAAAAAGATACTTCAACAGCCTCATTGATGCGCTGTATAAATGAATTTAATTTAAGTAAACTAGATAGTAAACATAGCAAGTAACTCATTGAAACTGAATGAAGGGATATCTTAATCCAGCTGAATCTACTGTTGAAAGAAGTATAACACCTCACAGATACATCGTATGTAAATCGCTGGTAAATTTAAGATTATTAATTTCAGATAATTCAGGGAAAGTTGCAAAGCTATTAGGAAAAAATGATAAGGTTATTTGACCAGTCATAAAAAAAAGAAAAGAAAGTTAAATCAAACATTACTACAACTTGATAATATTTTTTCCTAATTAATTGTATTTTTATAAAACAATAAAAATTAATAATAATTCTTAGTAATTATCTAAATTTTTTATTTAGTTGCATGAGAAAAGGACAAGTTAAAAATTAAAACAAATATAAGATTTTAGAAAATATTTATCATTTAATATAATACTTATTCACTTAAAAAAAAAATAAATAAAATAAAAAATAAAAACAGTGGTAGCTCACTTGAAGAGCAAAAAAAAAATATCACAGATTAAATGAAAGTTTTCAGTAGGAACGTCACCATTTTTACTAAAAACCACACCGCTGTTTCTTAAATTAATTCACTAAATATTTAAATAAATTCTTAATTTGTAAAACCAAGAAGCACATATTGAGAACTCAATTTGAATGGCAAGTAACAATTTTTTTTTGTTTAGATATAAACAATCATTACATTATTCGTCCACAATGCATATCATGACTCCAACGCATGGACGCATATAATATGTGGCTTCAAATAGCCTTTTTGAATTTTCAAAGCAAAAAACCCTATCAGGGATAAAAATAGAGGAACACTTACATAACACTAAATACAAATTTATAACACACTCAAATATGTAGCCTGTAAAAATACTGGATTAAAAATATAAAACTGGCATCACACAACTATCATACCAATATTCTTCTTTTGGTACATAATGCAATGCAGCACTGGACAGAATGTTTAAAATTTCAGTCAGTTCCAAAATATTTCTGGCCAAAATGATTAGGTGCAACATGATGAAGTTCAGAAGTCAATATAGTCATCTGAAAAATTAAAATATAACATATTTAATACCATAAAGAAACTAACATAAATTTTTTATAACACATGCAAAATATAGACATATACAAAGCAATTACAGCACACATAAATCTCAAGTTTTAGTAAACAAAAATAAATATTTCTTTAAATGAGAATTAAATAAAATCTAGTAGAAATAAAAATAATTAAAATATTAAAAAAAAAAAATTAAATTGCTCCCATAGTAAGCAGGAATAAATTTATATGGATTAGAAATTAATTAACTATTGACTCTTTATTCACTTTTATTTCTCTTTCTCCAAAACCCCTGCCTGCCCCTGAATGAAATTCTCAAAAGCTTGTTAAAGCCATCATCACAGATATAGATAAATCATTTATTTTAGGTCTGTTCTGAAATAGATTTGGCTTAGGTAGGTATGATGAACCAGGTTCAATAAATGAAAATTTAAACAAATTCCAACAAACGTGAAAAGACCAAGATCAGGTCTTTCCACATTTGTCAGATTGAACAGCCCTGATGAAGGCCAGATTTTAGGGCGGAAACGTCGGCAAACATAAAAATAAATATAATAATTTATTTTTACTATTTTTTATTTTGATTGATCACTCCAACCATCCTTCTCTTCAATTATTCACTACAGTCAACGATCAACCAACAATCATAATAATAAAAAAACACCTGTACCACTACAATACAGTCCATGAAGGGTCTTGGGTTCATTACTACGTAGTGAAAGTACTGTATCTTAGTCAACAGTTGTGCAAGGAGATGATTTGAGTGAGATCACACTCAACTGCCAGGTTTTTCCCCTTAATTTATCATTTAATTAAGGGTACCCACTTTATAAAGGTTGGGTATGCCCCCAGAAGGGTCTTCTTACCCCATGGCCCCCCCACAGCTGATGAAATAGAATAAATATTTCTTCTGCCAAGAGCCAGGATAATTTTTCTACCATAATAATAAATATATTAAAATAATTGTTCTTTATTATTAAATGACTCTCCTATTTATATCTTGCAACATTAAACAACTAGAAAAATTAATTATTGTTTAAATTACTAATCTTCGTATCAAATAATTATTTAGACAAAATACCTGAGGAAATGTTTGAACAATAGCTTTTGCAGCAAATGGAGTGCAAAACAAGTTAGATAAAATTATGTTTTCTTCCAAAACATGGTGTTCTTTTAAGACATTCACAGCTTTTATAACAGTATTTCCTGTACCTAAAAACAAATATTAATTTTAAAATAAAACATACATAATACCCATTGACTATAGACATCTTTTTTTTTAATTACACTCAACATTAAACTTTTATTTTAAGTTCTATACTAGAAGACTACAATGCTAAACACCAACAATGGGGTTGCCGAGCACCCAACTCCCGTGATAACATACTATCTTCTGTCTCAACTTCCAATAGTTACTCTGCCCTCTCTCCTATGAATCCTACCTATTGACCAAGTTCCCTAAAAAAACTCCCTGATATCCTGGACTTATTTGTCACCTCCCAGATTTCCTCTTCACATGTCACAATCAAATCCCTGGATGACCACTCCTCAGATCATTCTCTGCTTTTGCTTTTATTACACATAACCTTTGTTCCTAAGCCCCTGTCCCATCTTACACATATTGCAGGATGAGTAAACTGGGACAAATTTTGTAAAGATCTGGAAAATAAATTGGACCTAAATATTCCACTTAAGACAAAATAAGACAAACACACAGCCATAGAAGTACTTACTACATCTATAAGTGACAAAATAAACGATAATGCATCTACTAAAAAAATTAACAACTACCAACAGAAAAATTTGCCACAGCATATTTGTATCTTACTAAGGGAAAAACACAGAGCAAGATCGAAGTGGCACAGGACCAGATACCCATCAGATAAGACATATTACAACAAATTAACCATCTAAAAGCCAAAATTAGAAAATATAAAAATTCAAAATTTACTTAACTTGACAGAAAAACTTACTACTAATGACAAATCACCATAGTTGATCACTAAAAAGCTCCTTAAATTAAAAGATTTTAACCACCCACTTATTACTGAAACCCAAACCTGGACCAAATCTGACGAAGAAAAATCTCAAATATTTGCCTAGCATCTCTTCAAAACATTCAATCCACATCCATATATCCTTAATCCAACCCAACTTGAGTTTATTGAAGCAGAATTGGATATCCTACTCCAACTGACTCCTCCACATAAAGCATTTTATCCTTCAGAAATATCCAATATCATTCATAGATTACCTTCCCACAAAGCTCCTGGCCATGACCTAATCACATCCCAGATCCTAAAACTGCTTCCTCAGAAAGCCATGCTATTCCTCACCTATATATATATATATCTCAGTCTCTATATATATATATCCTCCAATTATCCCAGGCATATATATATATATATATATATATATATATATATATATATATATATATATATATATATATATATATAATGCTGTACTCCAAACCACATATTTTCCTGACCCTTGGAAACTATTCATTGTCAAAATGATACCTAAACTCATAAAGCTGCCAGAACACCCATCTTCTTACCGTCCTATCTCTCTTTAACCCCTTATGGGCAAAATCCTGGCAAAACTCACCTTAAAAAGCCTGTATCCCATCCTAGACTCTAAGCACATTATCCCAGATTGCCAATTCGGAACAGGGGGATCTGGAGATAGGTACTAAAAAATGAAATAAATACTATTCAAGTCATCTATTTAAACTATCTCAGTGAAGGATTGGACGATCTCGCAAAGTACTGTTTTTAAGTATCAGAGGGTAATAATAGATAGGTATGGTACAATTTAAAGGGATATAGAAAATAAAACCACTAATAGAAAAAAGAACATAAGTATCCTTAACGATGTACTATGGAACAAAAAGGTGTCGCGTCTAACAAAGAAAAAGTGTATACAACTCCTTTCTAATTGAATTACAGTTATAGACAGTGACAAAGGCATATTTGAAAAGATTATTGGCTCCAAACATGGATTCTTGGAGAAGCTGTTACATATCCAGGTATCAGAGAATGACAAATAAATAGATAAGAAATAAAGTAGAGGGAGACTAATCTTCACAATTTGAATATCAGAGAAGCAAGATTGATGTGGTACGGCCACATTATGAAAATAGATGATACACATTGATCCCATAGAATGCTTAAGTACAACCCAAAGAAGTGAAGAAGAAAAGCAATTTAATTTTCGTACGAATTTTCGGTTTTAAGGTAGGCTGTTCACATACACACAGAAATACAGACCATTTTTGAGGACTAGGTTATTTGGACTCAGGAGACCTTGTGTATTTCCGTTGAAAACTCAGATTCGAAAATTTTCACGATCGCAATACTTTCCCTTACTATATATCACGTATAGAGTTAAGTGGAAGTAAAAAAATAAATAAATCTAAACTACTCACTCATAATTGGGTACATCAGGAGAACTTTTCTTGTAGCAATATCTTCTGGAAATCTGGCATAAACTACTCTAGCCTCATGAGTTTCAGCATCTGATTCTACCAGAATTTTACCTATTCTGATAGAACGACAACAGTCTCTCAAACCCTACCAAAAATATTTATTAAATAAGATTGATTAAGTCATATACTGAAATAAATATATGAGGCACTTTGTCATAAAATATGGTATCTGACATTTTTTTGTGAACTGAAGTATTTTGTAACATTGGTCTTTATATGACTAATATTAGAGGTTGTTGATAGAATCCATAGGAAATTTGTTTCTTTAAACAGTGGAAGAAGTCAAAATACTTTTTTTAACTAAGGCTTTATATAACAAGAAAATTATAATAATGAATGGAACATTTTAGTGCATAATCACTAATACATAATTAACATTTAAAAATTCAATAAATCACTCAGTTTATGTTAGAGATGTGTTCACTTTGTTTACTAACGAATTCCTGATCTAAGTTATGAGGTGATGGATAAACATTTGGTCTTTTGAGGGTCTTTTCCATTTACTTCTTAATTAAACTGTAAAAACACCTTTAGAACTAAGGCTTTATTTACCAAAAACATGACATAATTGATAACACCATATTTAACTTTAAGATTCCATAAATTTCTGAATTTGTTATTAAGTGATATAGTAATAAGTGGGGTATAGTGAATCTCTATTGCTACAAAACATTATATCACAAAAACTAATGTTTTTAATAAGATACAATAAATGGCTGTTGGTTAAATATAAAGTATTGTAACCAACCAACAATTTAACATTGTAATATTTTTCAGTTATTCATTAATCAAACTTTATGACCGAGTGCCTTATCCATCAAAGTTTAAACAGACCTGCTCCATGGCTTCACCACTTCGAACAATGCTCACTCCACAGTTCCCACGTTCATATCTCAAACCATTATATTGTGCCCCGGTTGGAGTAGTGATGGTACATTTTGAAAAAGGTAACTGATTAAGACTCTCCTCAATTACAAGTCTTATCTAGTTAAAAAAAAAAAAACACTGGTTAACTGCAGAGTACTGATTAAAATGATATTCAATCATAATTAAAATTACACCCACAAGTCTATCGGCATAAAATTTGAAATCACTTCTAGTAGTGTTCCTATAACAGAATTTTAGTTGAATTTTAAATACTATAATTTAAAATAATTAATGTAATATATTTAATAGGAAAGGATTACCTGTCCCTAAGAATAGTTTGTAATTCTCTCACTTGATCATTGGAAGGCAAGAGTTTTAAATTTGGCCCATATTCTTCAATTGAATCAGTTTTGAGTTCAAGTAAAATATTCTTTTTTAACTGGATGCAATCACCAGCACCTATTTCTAAGTTTTCTTTGTTTTCAACGAGTTCCATGGTGGATTTTTCTTTAAATTAACTGATGTCTCGATAATAAACTGTAAGTAATTAATTATTTTTTAATTCAAACGCACATAGTTAAACACCCTTAGTTAATCAGTCCAGTCTCGTGGTTTCTAATAACCTTCGTGCGGTTTCCTATTTCCTTGATAAATCAGCTGTTTTATGTGATAACATGCTCAGTCCAAAATATGGCATCCCTTGTCAGTAGGAGGGATTGCATTACTAGAAAATTTTCTGTTTTATTTTGTGGGCATCATAGATATGGGTTCGATTATCGAATTTATCAACTAACTCCTGTTTTATTTCATTATTACCACAGCCCTGATCCTCGTTTGTATATATCTTCAAGACTACTGTATACAAGATCCACCAAGGTAAATTTACTAAGATAAACATTTTTCTTTATGGTGTGTACTCTAAAATAAATGTTACAATGGGAAGGGTTGCTAGAAGAAGAAATAGGAAGAAAAAAGAAAATTATCCTAGTATCAATAGTGACTTAATTGCCTTTATTCATTGGCTCTTATCTAAAGGATGGAAGCCAACTATCAAAATGAAATTGAAGCATTTTCCAGATACTGGCAGAGGATTCATGGCTATGGAGCCTGTTAGTTGTGGCGAGATTATTGTTAGAATTCCGAAGGAACTGGTTATCTCGGCCAAGACTGTTGAAGAATCTAAAGTTGGAGAAATTTTTCTGAATCAGAATGTAAAGGTTCCTATTCACTTGATTCTCTCTACATTTTTATTATTTGAAAAACACCTTGGTGAACTGTCCGATTGGTACAGGTATATCTTGTTATTACCTGAAAGTTATTCATCTCCTGTATTTTGTTCTGATGAAGACCTTGAAAAGTTTCCTCCTTTTTTAACTGAAAAGGTTAAAACTATGAAAAGAACTGTGTATCACATGTATGAAATATTGTTAGATTTATCAGAATTTAGAAAATGTCAACATTGTAGTATAGATTATTGTAAAATATTTTCGTTTAGTGATTTTTTATGGGCATGGTTTACTGTTAATTCAAGAGTTGTATATTTATCACCTAAAGAAAATTTTGTTCATTCTATTCCTCTTTCTGATGAGAACTCTATTGCTCTTGTACCCTATCTTGATATGTTGAATCACTCAAACAGTTCTAGAATTGCAGCAAAATTTAGTTTTGACAAAGGTTATGAATTAAAGAGTTTGGTAAGCTTTAAGAAATATGATCAGATTGTTATTCATTATGGGAGCCATGATAATTTAAAACTATTTTTAGATTATGGTTTTATCATTCCAAATAATATTAATGACACCGTTCATCTTATAGTTACAGATATAGTTTGTGCTGTTGAAACCTCTGTATCAGTTAATAATATATTTTCTCTTGAAAACTGCCAATGCTTCCTTAAGAACCTTTACTGCACAAGTGAAGGACTTTCCTGGAACTGTAGGGCCTTACTCTATCTATTACTTATAAAAGATATAAGTATAAAAGCTGCATTGCAAAATGTGTATTCAGGTTCCATTAGTCCTCTCGATTTGGAAAGAATTGCTGTTATTGAAAATCTTATTGTTTCCAAGAAGATTAAAGATATCAATAATATAGTTGCAAAGTTACATGTTGAAGGAAATATAATATTATCAATCGGAAAAGAATTATTCAAATTTTATGTAGTAATGTTAAATAAAGCCATATCATGTAGATAAATTGTAAAATAATTTTGTTTTAATTGTTTTTTTTTTCATATAGAATTGATATGTTTTATATTTAGTAATTATTACTTTAGATTAGCTCTCTTTGTACTGTTTTTTATTTTTTGATCTATGGTATAAGTTGTGGAATTTTCATTTGTCATTAAAGTAACATTTACTTTATTTAAAGTATAATTAATACATGAATCATTGTGATTTTAATAATATTTTTTTCCCTTTCATATGTGAGGAAGAAAATACATACTTATCTTAAAATACTATATTATTTTTTAATCCTCTTTTTCTTGACATTATGTGATATTTGAATTATTGAGTTTATACCTACTGTTACTGTTTCAGAATGTAATTTATTTCTGCTTTATTGTTTTTTTCTCCCAATTAGAAATATTTTTTTACTCTCCTTTCCACTTCTTGATATTGTGATGCGTTTTTGATTAAATATTATGACATAATCCATTATTTGTGAGTCTTGAGCTAATAGTTTTTAACTGGCATTTAATAATATACTTACTAGTCAGACATAATCAATGAAATTTCTAAATGTGTCTCCACTTTTGCCTGACTGATAAATGTTCTCAAATTTATTTAATTACCTCTGCACAATTGATAAGTATTTGAATGATTTTGAACATTATTATTAAAATTTTCACCATTTTTGTCTGACTGAAAAATATTAAAAAATTTATTTAGGATCATTTCTGAAGGAAGCCTACTCAAGAGTCCAAATCCAAATTTAACCAAGCTTTTATTTTTTTAGTATGGTGTATATCATTATTATTAATCCTTTAATGGTGATGGACTCATCGAGAGGTTACTTAGAGAACTCATTTATGAGTTGAGATGAAATCAGTCGTAGATGGCTCTGGACTCTTATATCAGTTTAAGTTAAAAGCCTGTTTGGCTAATATAATAACATATTTCAGTATTTTTTTTTTGTTAAGAGAGAACATGACAGAAACAAAACAGTGTTGTTATTAATTATTGACTCATTCAGTTTTATAAAAAATAAAGATTTAAAAATTCATATTTATTTTTAAAAAGTGTATAGATGGTCAGGTTGTGAAAATACAACATTTCAATCTTATGAAAGATAGATAAAAAAACAAAATAAAAAAGTTTAGAAATAAAAAGACTAAATGATGAATAGAAATGATGAAAAGTATTTCATCACTAGGGCATGAAGAGCTGTCAGCTAATGACTTCCTCTAGGCCAATCCTTCCTTTCTGTTATCACTAAAACTTTAAATTTGGAGATATTACTGTTATGAAAAAAAGAAATATTTCAATATCTTTATGTCCTCCCAAAAATCGCATATAACCAAAAATCATTCACACAAAAGTAATCTAGAAAGATTGTATAGGGGCATTTGCTATGGATGTACACTCATAAGGCTAAGTCCCAATTTGAACCTTTCTGTAATTTATAAAGTATAATCTATATTATTACAATAAAGTGTGATGACATAATGAGTTTAGAAAAAATAAATGTTTGAATATCCTTACCTCTTCCCAAATTATATATATATATATATATATATATCCCAGAAAACATGTACACAAAAAAAATTCAGGAAGTTTTTAAATTAATTAAATTTAAAACTTCATATGAATTAATTAGTAATTATTAATTTAATTTAAAGGAGTTAAAATTTAGTAATAATTATTTATAAATACATATTAGTAAGGCCAAGCATGTTAAGATGTCCACTTTAGCATTCTCAGAAGTACAAATCCGACCTGGATTGATTCAACACTTTCACTTTTACTAGAATAGTTTGGTTATTTGTCCAAACCATCCTAGTTAAAGTATTTAAGAGTGTTAAGCCCAAATAAATATACAAAATTCATTTTAGTACTCTGTTGATTTACAGTAATATTTATTTTGTTGTTTACTGTTTGTATTTTTTTTATTTCTTATATGGGCTGTTTTTATTTTAAATTTAAAAGTTTCTCGGTATCTCTTATAATTTAAAGAAAATACTTTTTACACCTTGGTAAGAGTAGAAAGATGTTTGTACATCTTTATTTTTGTGTTGTAAATTGTTTTTAATGTTTTGATCTACTTTGTAGGTGTTCGACATCCAACTTTTTTTCTTGAATTTGACTTTATGATCTATGCCAAGTTCATAAACTGACCAGCTGTATAAAAACAAGTCTTAAATATATTAGTACCTTTTTCATGTGATGTTTCTGTATCCCATTTTCATAATTTTATTCACTTACCGAGTCTTTTTTAACGTTAAGCTAACAGAAAAGTTAGTTTCCTAGAGTTAGCAGTTGTACACCTCCCTGATACCTATCGTTTTAATCTCTTCCGATGTTAGTGATTCTGAAATCATTAGATTGGAAATAAGCACTTAGTGCATTGGATACTCCCATTTGATTTATTAATCTCATTAATTATATGTTGCCTAATACAATAAAGTGGTATATGTAGCATCCAACTTATTTCAATTTTTTATGGATATCTTCATCTGTAAATTTTATAATCCAGTGTACAATTATTTTTAATAATCTTGCTCTTCTTATCAGAACGTTAAATTTTGTTTTATATTTTCAAATCATTAATGTACTATTTTTAAAAGTGCTTATGGTAATATTTCTGCAACTTGAAGTGATTAAAGTTAAATTTTAAGTTTTTATTCGTTCTGTTTCTTTTTAACAAATGTGATTGTATTTTCCAGAGTAAGAGGCATCTAGACGAGAATGTATTTAGAAATCAATTGCTGCTACCCCTTCAAGTTAAGGGATATAAAACCAAAACTTATTTCAAGTCAATCAAAGATAATTTGTCATTATCACAGATCAAGAGATGGTGTTTTCACCCAGGTACATCAGTGCTTTCCAGAGAAACACTCGGAAAAGTCACACCAGACAATAAACAAATTACATCTAAGGATATGATCAATGCTATGTTGCAGTATATTTGGCCTAAGGTTAATTATATTTTTCAATGAAATTTGAATTATATCTACTTTTAATTGTTGTTGGTGTCTATATTTAAAAACCTGTACCATTACAATCCATGAAGGGTTTTGGGTTCAGTACTTTGAAAGGAAGCACTGTTTCAAGGCCAACAGTTGTGGAGAAAGGTGATTGGGCCAAGATCATGCTCACCTACTATGTGTATATTCATATACTGAAATAACCCTTTTATTAAGAATTTTTCTAATCATACTTCATTTACACCCAATTAGATTTTTTTCACTTAAGGATAAAAATATTGATACAATATATATGTATTTTTTTATCCACAAGTCAAAACATTAAAACGGCTGTAGTTATTTTGATAAAACGTTTTACTATCAAGCTTTGGGAAACCATAAGACCCAATTGAAATATCTGGAAATGTCCACTTTTGGTAGAGTTAGAGTAAGTACAAGGTGCAGCAAGCAAGCTTTCTTATTTCATATTACAATAAAACAAAATGCAATGCAAGATAAATTTTTAATTTGTTTTTTTATATACGAAAATTATACTTTAAAATTGTGGTCTATATTGTTATGAAAATCATAAACGTATATGTAAATGATGCCTCCCATTGTTAATATACTGGTTGAACTGATCTCTGCTATCTCTTTCAGATCCGCCAGTCTGATTGGTATAGACACGGGTTTTCAAATGCGACCACAAAAATAATGCACCATGAGCCAAATTTAATGATTTGATTTATAATAAGTTAATAATAACTTAATGGTGAACATGATGGCCACTTCCGATCCCCCACAGTGGGTTGAGTTTTTTGATGCAATGGAGAATAGAGTTTGTCATGTAAAATTAGTCTCAATAAATTATCAAAAATCCAAGGGCACATGCAAGATTGTGTGCCAAATGACGTGATAATCGGGAAAATTACACCCTTACTGCTTTAATTTTCTCAGGTGATCTGTTGGAATGTGCATCCAATTTTTTTTTTCCTCACATAACTGCTTTCTCTGAACTTTGTAATTCACACATTCAGTGCTATGTTAAATGCTTCAGAGCACTCTTTTAAAAAAATAAATTAGCTTGCTACACCTTTTATTAAATCATAATGTTTGTTTGAGTTTTTATTGCACCATATATGTGCTTTTTAAGTTTTGTATCAATTGGATATTTCGCCACCTTTTTCATGTGCACTCACACTAATCACAAATTATTTTTTTTTTAAAAGTTAAACTAATGCGACTTAACATATTGCCCACTAATTCTGTAGAGTCTTTAATTCTATAGAATAAAAAATTGATGGGGATTATAAATTTGCCTCCTATAGAGAGAAAAAAGTGTCTGTGCTAAGAGAAATTTCACTTCCAACAGAAATTTTTATTATATATATATATATAATAAAAATAGATTAATTATTTTTTTTTTTTTACTAATAGGATGACCCACTTGTTCGAGTCAGAGTATGCACAGCCATGAGTCTGTTAGTTGGTGCTAAATTGTTGAATGTCTCTGTACCTTTTTTATTTAAGTATGCAGTTGATGATCTGAATAGTTACTTAAATCTTCTTAGTATGGGCTCAGCTCCAGAAGCAATTGCTACAAGTGCAACTGCTATCTTGATTGGCTGTAAGTAATTTTTGTGTAATACAAAATTTTTTAACAATGTCCGTCATCTGTTTATTTCACTTTTTTTTTTAAATTAAATTATTTTGTGTAGAAAAATTAATTTTGCAATAGTGTATTTGTGCAGACGGCATTGCAAGAGCAGGAGCTGCAGGTTTCAATGAGCTGAGGAACGCAGTATTTGCCCGTGTTGCCCAGCATTCCATCCGAAAAATTGCACGGAATGTTTTTGTCCATCTTCATAATCAGGATTTGTCATTTCATCTTTCCAGACAAACTGGTGCACTTTCAAAGGTATTTTTATTTTTTTACTTTAAATCAAGACTTATTCTTTTGAAGGTAACTTGATTTCTCTTTCAGACTATTGATCGAGGAAGTAGAGGTATTAATTTTGTACTCTCTGCAATGGTATTCAATGTAGTTCCTACAGTATTTGAATTGGCCCTTGTTAGTTCGTTATTGGTAAGTATTTGGCTAAATTAAGTGAGATGAATAGAAATATTTAATGTTTTATTGATAATTATTTTGTTTGTTTAGGGCTTGAAATGTGGCTTAATTTATTCATTTCTGTCTTTAAGTTGTGTCGGTATTTATGCTGCTTTTACTTTAGCTGTCACACAATGGCGTACCAAATTTCGTGTATATATGAATCAAGCTGAAAATGAAGCTGGAAATAAAGCTATTGATTCTTTAATCAATTATGAAACTGTTAAAGTAAGTTTATTTTATTTAAGATATTGTATGTTTGTTATTTTATAACTATAAAATTTATCTTTTTTTTTTTCTTTCTCTCAATAGATTTTCAATAATGATGAACTGTTTTATTTTGTTCAGTTAAATTAAGTTGATTTTAATTTTTTTTTTTCCAATGGCCTAGTACAGCACCGTTCATTAGGCCCTGTGGGTGCCATAGTTTTAGCTATTTCTTATCAAAATATTTTTACAGCATCAATGAATTTTAGAAGGCCTGTAGGATCGACAAGCTTACAGAGAACCTATCGCACCAATAGATAATGTGATTTCCTATTTCATTTCTACTGTGGCAGAATCTACACAAAGGTGCTTCTTTCAGCTTAAGTTTGAAAATATGTGAGCTAAGTTTACAGTGACCCCTTTTAATATCTGTTATACTGTTCAGAAATATTCTGTACCCTGTCTAAATGAGCAAAACAATTCTTATTCTTACACTAGGACCATCAAGGAAAAACTTAAACTGGAGCTAATGCTTATCATGCCAGTATTGTTTAGCTTCATATCTATTCATTGCTTAAGCCACATAATGGTTCAGGAGTTGTGAGAATACTCTTTAAGTCTTTATTGGCTAAGGTATCAGCCTTATTGTAGCCTGTGATATCAGAATGGTCTACTACTCATTTTAAATTTACATTATTGTATTGACCTTACCCATTTTGCTCCACTCTTCCCTTAAATATAACTCTGTTTTATTTTCTTAAGCAAGAAAGTTGTGTTATTTATAGATTATTGACCTTTTCTATTATAGTGGACAACTACTCATCTGCCGCCACATGTGGGCTCTCACTCATTGTATCCAAAGATTTATTTTTATTTCTCATTATTGTATTGTAAAAAACTGAAATTGGCTCATCCCTCCGTTAGTATTTCATCCTCCCACAAAGTCTGGAGATTCATCCCTCAGTTTGTGGTTTCCGTTCTGTGGTGTCTTGAGATTCATCCTTCAGCCCGCAGACCAAGAGTTATTTGGATGCTCATCCACCTGACACTTGTCTTAGCCTCTTCCATCATCCACTAAGTCATTAGAACTTAATTTGAACACACTTTGTCGAGGCCTTCTGGTTACTCTGCTATACCTACCTCGACGCTATGCTTTAAAAATTGAAGTTTATATATATATATATTTTCATAATTATTCTTGTATTTTTACTACTTTCAATTCTAATATATTGTTCCTTGTTGTTTCAGTATTTTAATAATGAAAAGTACGAGGCAGAAAGATATAATTCTTCACTGTTGAAGTATGAAAGTGCTTCCTTGAAAACAAGTACAAGCTTAGCTATGCTAAATTTTGGCCAGAATGCTATATTCAGTGGTGCCATAGCCATTGCTATGGTTTGTGCTGCTAAAGAGATAGTTAATGGTATGCTTTTTTTATCCTAATTTTATTTATTCTGAAATTTTATCATTTTATTAATTTTGTTTATTTAATAATTATCAGTTTCTATAGTAATAATGAACTAATATAGTTGTTAGTACTAAGAATGCAATTAATTATTGATTTTTCGCCAAAATATAGTTGCTTATTTATTGACTGAATCTTAAGGTCCGTAGAAAATAAATATGTGTATATATTAACTCAATTTTCTTCCATTTATTTTAGGCTAACAGTTTTTATTAATTTAAAAACTGTTCTAGTCTATTGTACTAAAATAATTTTCATCTGTCTTCTATTCTTGACATTTGTTAATTCATCCATTATCATTGTTCCTATTTCTATCAGGTTCATTAACAGTTGGAGATCTTGTGATGATAAATGGCCTCTTATTCCAGTTGTCTGTCCCTTTGGGTTTTCTTGGGTCAGTTTACAGAGAAGTTCGACAAGCATTAATAGATATGCAGACAATGTTTACTCTTATGACAAGAGAGAGTTCTATAAAGGTATGATATGGTTAATTTTTATTTATTACTTATTTTGATTATTGGATTTCAGTAATTTACCAACACTCATTGTTAGTGTTATTTGTTCTTGGTATGGCAGACATTCATAGAGGTCACTAGTGGACTAGCTTAATATATTTCTTGATTATTAATTTGCCAGATAGTTATCACTATTTTTCTTATGTCCACAGAAACACTATCCTTTCATCTCCCTTTTGTAATCTATTTTCTCGTGTAGTTCTCTCATATAGATGTGAATTTTACTATTATATCCTAATAATTTACTATATTCGGATTTGAAAAATGATATAATTCACTATCATTATATTCTAACAATCTGAAAATCATTTCAAAAATTAAAAAAAAAAATTAAAATCAATAACAAATAATTTACATTAATGAATAATATATGTATATTAAAATAGGCTATAGAAAATGGGCAAAGTGGACAAGCAGGTGAGGCTAAGGTACATTAGCACATCACCACACCATAAAAGTTCCTATTATTTGAATTTCCATTGTATTTAGTGTATTAAGTATGTATAAGGATAGTGTATTTAAATTTGTACAAAGCAATGTTTGTAAAGAGGTTTTAAAATCTTTTTGTGTACTTATTTATTCTTCAATCTTTTTTCCGCTCCTTCCTCACTAGTTAAGGCTATACAGGTTTTTTTCCAGGCCAGGGGATAAATATCAGATTTAATTCAGGTTTTCATACATAATATAAACTCTTTTTTTTTTTTTTGGTCTATCGCCCAGCCACTAATCAAAATGGTAAGTCTGCACCACATGTGGGCAAAATGTATTTTAAAATACCATGTACTTTGTATTTTTAAAATAAAATGTATTTTAATTACAAAATAATTAAATTGTTTTTCAGAAAATGTATTTAAAATACAAAACACTAAAAAGTATTTTTTATTTTAATTACAAAAAAAAATAATACTTTCTGGTGTTATAATACTCTATTTGGTAATTTATTATGTATATTTAAAATACAAAGTAAAATATATTGTTTGTAATTTAGTATCTTGAAAATAAAATATAAATACTTTTTTTGTATTTTAAGAAGAAAATAGAGTTACTAACAATCTATTTTATGTTTAACTTTTTATAATGCAAAATACAAACAGATATATTTTATAATACCTTTATTTATAAAAAAAAAAAATAATAAAAAAATTGTTTACTTTGAAATGAAAAAATAATTTTATTCTGGGACTGCTGTCCCCTAAGAATAATAACAGAGTTACAAATTTATGTATCTTAGTGTGACATAATAAAAATACCAACTAATTTATTGTTAATTGTTATTTCAATTGTGCAATGGATTGAAATTAAACATTGTATAAATGCAAGTAATTTTACATGTTAGGGGAAGTTTGAATGTGGAGTAGTTGTTGGAACAGGAGTTGTTTTGAAGGAATTTGTGGACGAGGATTGACGCATGGAGGTAGGAAGTGAGTTCCATAAGGAAGCAGCACGAAAGACGAAGGGTTTGATGAAGGAGGAAGTTTTATGGTAGGGAATATATAAGTCTAAAGGTTGAGACCTAGTATTGAGAGAGTGGATAGAGGAGCGCAGAGTAAGGAGTTTCAGGATGTAGGGAGGGTTTTTGGTTCTAAAGACTTGGAAAAGGAAAACACCAAGGGGGAATTGTCGTCGGGAAGTAGGATAAAACCACTTCAACTCGGTGTACCAGAGTGAAACATGTGAACGCCTGGGGATCCCGAAAATGTATCTTATGAAACAATTCATGAGTCTCTTTAGTCTCATTTCCAGCCTGGCAGATAGCCCTCCATACATCAAGCAGCCGTAGTCGAAGTGGGGGAATACAAAGGAGGTTACAAGGAGCTGTCTGGTTTTTAGAGGAATACAATCACAGAATCTTAGGAGTTGTTTAAGGGCAGTTATGGATTTTCGGGTAATCTGGCAGATATGATTATTCCAGGAGAGGTTCTGGTCAAAGGTTACTCCTAGGTTTTTGGCTGTAGGGAAAAATGGATGGGATGGTTATTGAGGTTAAGTAGAGGAAAATAAGGAAGGAAGCTGATGAGATGTCTGGACCCGATGATAATAGCCTTGGTTTTATCTGCATTCAGCTTTAATTCATTTATTTCTGCCCATCTGTTGATGCAGTCGATGTCCTCTTGTAGCCTCCGGGTAGCCTCAGGCATCTCAGAAGGTTGGAATGATTGATATATTTGGAAATCATCGGCATATAGGTGGTAATTGGACTGTTGAATGGCGTTAGGAAGGTCACTAATATAGATGGAGAAAAGAGAGAGTGAGGAACCCTGAGGAACACCTCGCGTTAATTGAAGGGATGATGATGGAGGTTTATTCGATATTGTAACTGTTTGAGATCGATTGGATAAGAAGGATAGGAACGATTTTAGAATGCTATTTGATATAGGCAGGCTTTGGAGTTTGGAAAGAAGGATCTCATGATTAACAGAATCAAACGCCTTGGAAAAGTCAAAAAGAATTAGAATGGAGATTTTCTGTTTATCTATGGCGGATTGGAGATCTTGTGAAATCCTTAGCAAGGCAGACTGGGTGGTATACTGGGAAACCAGATTGTAAGGGATTGAGGAGATGGTTTTGCTCGAGAAAGCTGTTCAACTGAGAGTGAACTAATCTTTCTAGAGGCTTGGATAGGCTGGATAGAATGGAGATGGGTCTGAAGTCGGAAGCTGATGAAGGAGTTGGAACTTTGTTCAGTGGACGGACTATGGCTCTTTTCCAGGATTTGGGAAAAATGGAATTTTGGAGAGAGAAATTATATATGTGTAGAAGTGCGGGTAGTAAAGCTGGAAGGCAGAGTTGCAGAGTTTGATAACTTTAACAGATATTTGGTCAGGACCATAATCATTCATTTTGAATTTAAGGGTGGCAGAGAGCAGGTCAGTAGGAGAGATATCGAGAAAGTAAAACTTATCAGAGGATCAAAGGGGGTTTCGGTAATGGAAAAAGATGAGCGGTCAGATGGAGATGTGGATAGAAAATGGTTTTATTTTAGCGTGTTTTAAGAATTTAGCGTGTTGGGATCGATTGGATACTGTGCGCAGGTTTTCGAGGTAACAACAGAGAGGTTCTTAAGGATTTTCCATTTGAATTTAGGGTTAGGTTCTTGGGATAAAATGTTATTGAAGTATTGGGCTTTAGCGCGACGTAGGGTCATTTGTGTGAGATTTTGTAGGGATTTAAATGTGGAATAATGCTGAGGTAGTCTAGTATGTCTGTATCGTCTTCTAGCAGTTTCTCTTCTCCTCATTAGTTCTCTTATTTCTGTATTGATCCAAGGAGTGGGAGGACATCTAAAGACACGTGTTTTTAGAAGTGCGTGACGATTGAGGAAATCGAGGAGGTTGAAGGAAAGGCATTCAACCATATCATCGATGGAGGGGAGAGAATAGATGGGTTCTAAGCAAGTGGAAAGAGAATCGAGGAAGGGGCTGATGTTTTCAGTGGTTAAGGAATCTAGATCTCTCCAGGAAATTTGTTTGGGTTTAGGTGAAGGAGTAGAGAAGTTGTATGTTATTTCAATAAGATCGTGGGATGAAAGGAAGGGAACTGGAATTTGTGTAGAGGATAATAGGTTATGGGGGAGGGGGGATCAATAATAAATAAATCTAGCCAAGTATCTGTGGATCGGGTGTGATGGGCGGGTTGAAAGAGTACAATAAATAGATCTAAGGAAAAAACTAGGTCGGTAAGATATGTTCTGTCCGGAGTGTTTGAAAGGAGGTTGGTGTTGAGATCACCAGCAATAATAATATTTTCGTAGAGAGGAATATATGTAAGGAGGGAGGATTCGAAAGTTGGATCGAATCGGACACGAGGAGGTCGATAAATAACGATAAAGAGTAGGGGAAAGGTACTAAAGGAAACCTGGACAAACAGATATTCTATGTTAGGGATGTCTGAAGGAGGAGATTTTAGAAGGACTTTGGCCGTCAAACTGTCATGTACGAACAATCCCACACCTCCACCTGTTCGTTCCATTCGATCATGACGGAAGAGGGTATAGTTGGGTATGGAAACGGATAGGGAGGGAATATCAGGTTTGAGCCAAGTTTCTGAAACGGCTATGGTATGATGGAAGTTATGGTGAAAATAATCGAGGAATTCGTCATAATGTGCTAGAAGGGATTGGGAGTTAACGTGACAGGATATTAAGGTATTGGTCATGAAGAAGTCAGGGTAAGGACAATCTGCGGAGTGTGACAAAACAGTGTTAATATTGATGGAGTAGGCACATTTTTAAACTTACATAATGCGATATAATAACAAATTATGTACATTATATTGATATAGATCTTACTTGAAATCTTTAAATGAAGGTAAGCATAGAAAAAATCTGATTCGAAGTAAAATATGAAAATTTCATCTTTCAAAAAAATACTTAATAAGCAATAGAATAAATTATTATGAACTATAGAAACAAAAAAGAACCATTACATATTTAAAAAAGAAAATGAAAATAAAAGATATTCATAAAAAAGAGGTTGGCGGGAACAGTGAGACCTATTTCATTCCAGCAATTCAATGTCTTCCTTTTTGTTGACGATGATGACCAGGGATCAATCCTGTCTTCTGTATCGTACCTTTCCTCCAGCGAACCTTACGTATCTCAGCATACCCGACGCCTTTTTCTGCCTTGCCAACCAGTATAAATGCTTATTACCTGGACTCATTTCTTCAGATAAATCCTCTCGTCGCTGTTCTGGCCCAGATGCCGCGTGGAAAAGTCCCTCCTGATCTTTGTTCATATATATTGATGATACTGTGTATTTGTATATTAGTTTTAAAAATTTTCCATTGTATAGGGAACCAATCCACAAAATATGTAATATTAAGTTAGTGAGGTTTTGGACGGAACAAGTCCTTAATATTTTCAACTGGAAAGAACAGTATCTTGGTTGAGATACCAGGAATAGAAAAAAAATGTCTTTCTTTATTAAAAAAAAAAAGAATAAATGCAATAAATTTAATTTTCAATCAATCTATTGATACAGCAATATTTCACAGGAAAGTTTTCGATATAGAATACAATTAGGTTAAAGTCCAAAAATATAATATACTTATTTAATGGCTTCCAGATTTCCAAGACTATTTGAGTTTACTCAAAACATGTGGATTGGTTCCGTTGTACTAAATGCAATACAAGTAGTTCTATTAGAACAGAAATTTAATTATCTAAGTAGAGTGGTAAGTGAGATAATAGAGTGATGCTCGCAACAAACCAGACTTTTTTATGATTCAAAAAGACTATATATTTTTCTTTATCTTCATAGAAGAATGAAATAAGGAAGAATCGATTTGATACTCCCTTATTTCACTCTATGATATTTTTAGTCCTAATGAGCTGTCATTTTGAAACCAAATGGCAGATGATAATGCTGAGTTCCAAGGGTCATTCTGAAGTGTCATATGGATTTGGTGCCAAATTTGATCGAAATTGGCCTAGTTGTCTCAGAGAATAGCCATAGATGTTATATACAGTCCTATGTATTTTTAATTCAATTTTTGGATTTTACATATCTAGAAATTTAGAACTTCAAATTTTGTGGAAGGATTTTTTTAAAAATTAAATAGTTCATTATCCACAGTAATTTAATTTTATTCTTATAAAATGTACTTTACGTGGTGTGTAATTTTTTTCTTTATCTATTTTTTATTTTTGTTTATGTTTATTTCAGAATTCACCCAATGCCAAACCATTAATTATAAGCAGAGAAAATGCTTCTATAGAGTTCAGAAATGTGTGCTTCCAGTACATCAAAGGAAAGCCTATATTTGATAACCTTTCTTTTACTATTGTTCCTGGAAGAAAAGTTGCTATAGTTGGTGGCTCAGGAACGGGGCAAGTATACCTTATTGAACTAATAATAAAAATGATTTATTTTTATCACCTTATATATTATATTATAAATATATTATATATTTCATTTCTTATTCTCAATAAAACAGTATATTAATAATTTACTGTTTTTTCATTGCAGGAAATCAACCCTTATTCGTTTACTCTTTAGATTCTTTGAACCAAATTCTGGCAGTATTTTTATTGCAGGCCAGAACATTAAAGATGTAGACTTAGAAAGCTTAAGAAGGAGCATTGCTATAGTTCCACAGGTATTATTTAATCAGTAATGGCTGTAATCGTTATTCAAGTATTTATTTTGTAATTAACTGAGTCATTAATTGCTTTGAGATTTAATTTTTTTAAAAAATAATTATGTAAAACTAATGTGTAATAGTTTTATATCATGCTTATTTTTGTTTGAGCTTTATTCAGGAACTCCATTCCCTATGTATAGCTACGAAACCCAGTTATACAGGATTGTCACTTTTAGCTAGGATATTTGTAAATAAAAGTAATTCCTGTAGATAACCTTTGTTGGAGCTCAGTTATATTCATCAATTGTATTCTCCTGGATAATTTTTCATCTGTAGTTGCTTCATTCATCCTCAGATGGATCAATGATCACTTCAGAGGGTTTTCCAAGCAGATCCGCTGAGGCTTCTCTCTTTATTTTGTGCCTATATATTATTTGGGAGTTATGAACCTACCATGGCTAGGATTTAGTAGGAAATTAGGAGGAGGATGGGAAAAAAAAATTTTGTAGTTTGTAGTTGTTTTTTGTAGTTTTTTTATGTAGTATGTACCTGCTATATTTTGGCTCAATAATAAGACTTATACCTTAATATTTAGACCTTCCTACGACAATCTGATGATGAAAAATGGCTTTATTTTTGTCCATACCCTAAAATTTTTAATTTTGATTTTAATCAAATTATTAAACCCACATAAAATTATTTGTTTAGGATTCTGTTCTATTTCATGATACAATCATGTATAATCTTCATTATGGTAACATGGAAGCGACTGAAGATGATGTTATAATAGCGTCAAAAATGGCAAACCTTCATAATTCAGTTATGACTTGGCCTATGGAATATCAGACTCAGGTTATTTTATTATTTACTATTTTAATTATGGTTTATAAACAATGTGAAAGAAATTAAATGTACCATCACAATACTTGCTTAATTCCTTGTTATCTATCCAGGTTGGAGAGAGAGGATTAAAACTTTCTGGAGGTGAAAAACAGAGGGTTGCTATAGCTAGAGCTATTTTAAAAGCTTCTCCTATATTAGTCTTTGATGAAGCAACTTCATCTTTAGATTCCATTACTGAGCATGTATGTTCTTTTAAATTGTACTATTGTTATTAAATCTGGAACATTATTGCAAAAAGTCATTAAGTGACATTTAATAACCTTAAATTAAACTTTAATTTTTTTCCCTTTATGATATCAGAAAATTGTACGCTTGTTTTACCAAATTTAATATATCATCTATACAAATGCTAACAATCGAATCTGAAAATTGCCACTCTAATATAATTCTCGATTCAGCCCAAACAACAAAGATGTTTTAATTTTCATACTAATATGTGCTTTTATGAATGTTTGAAGATTTTATATTCGCTCTTAAAAATATTTAATTACAATCACTAGAGTGTAGGATTGAAAATTTTTCATATTTTTATACTCAATAGTTAGCATGTGTATCAATGATATATAAAAGGGTTTGCTTCATTTACATTCACTTACAGTGTTTGTATCAAAAATGCACTTAGTGGCTTTTTGTAATATAACAACAATATATTGGTCAGGGATCTTCTCTGCAAGGATTAATAAAACATAAATTTTGTTTTCATTTATTTATGTATTTTCTAATGTTTCATCTCAAATAATAGTTGAGTGATGATAAGGATGAGAAAAGAGGAAGCAGTGCTTTATTGAAATCTACTTCTAAAACAATATATGAAATGCATGTTTTATTTTAAAATGCTATGTATCATTTTTTTTCTACACAAACTAATACAACTCCATCATGTCTACAGTTCAAGTGTGTGGAAAGAATGAAATCAATGTCTTATTCTCTCTTACCTATTTCTGACCAATATACATTGAGTATTTCATATCATATAAGTGATCAAATGCATGAAGCTATCGTAATTATTATTATGGTTTTGAACACATTTTCCTGTTTTGTAACCATGACAATTGATATATTTCAGAACATATTGGATGCTCTGAGAACAGCCACTGAAGATAGAACTTCAATTTGTATTGCTCACAGACTTTCTACAATTATGGACGCAACTGAGATACTTGTATTAGACAAAGGAAGGTTGGCAGAGCGTGGAACTCACTGGAGTTTGCTGAGTGATCCGAAGTCATTGTATTCGAAAATGTGGGAAATTCAACATGCTTCTGGAAAAGATATAAATAATAATAAAAAGGAAAATAAAAAAAGTTAATCTAAATGATTATTTTTGAGTTGAAACTGTTAGTATGCAACATGTGTAAAAATGTAATATAATGTAAACTGTTTTATCTGTAAAATGAAAAATGATAATAATTTTGGTAATAAATTTACAATTTTGCTATTAATTATTAATAATAATGCTGGCTATTTTGAGTTATATTTCTTACACCTATTCCTAGTATCATGTATTAATAAATCATGTGATATGATTAAATTAATTGTGTGGTGTTAAAATTAAAAGTAACCTTTCATTCTGATTAATAATGTTATTATATTATGTTATTTAATTCTTATAAATATAGATTTAGTTTCTGAATCTGTGAGTGTTAAGAAAGTAATTGTAATTATTAAAGTGAATTATTTACTCATAACAACTCAATTAATTCAAAAGATATTGAATAGTAAGTACATATGTTTAAATAATTTTATTTCTATTATCAATACATTCTATATTTAATATAGTAGGAGAAGTAAAATTTTGAAGCTACTGACCTATTTCCTTTTTATTTTAAATAATATATTGACATTTTTTTTAATATGTACAATTATTGTGTGTCATTCTTAAGGGAAGATATGATAAATATAAAGATAAATTTTATTTGTTTACCAACAGGTGTTAGCAAAGTCTTGGAGAGATGGTGGAATCCTATAGCTAGAGCTATATTAATATATATATATATATATATATATATATATATATATATATATATATATATATATATATATATATAAAATAAAGCTACTTAAATTTGAATATTTAAATGCATTTGTAATGTACAACTTTTTTGTTTTCCAATTCTTTAGTCTTGATTCAATATTAATAATTTCAATGCAGATTTAACATATAATTTTTAGTTTGTTACTTTGAATGATTAAATTTATTTTGAATTAAAGAAAACTCTACTTTTGAAATTCCAAGCTGATTATAAATATTTTTATAAAACTGTTATAAATTTTAGTGTTCATTTGTATTTGTATTTCTTTTTATTATTTTTTTTTTACTGTTTCTTCATTTGATTTATTAATTTTTTGTACTTTATTAATTGAAGAAGTGAGAGCAAGGATCGACAACCATAGCCTTTTCCATCTCCATCATTTATCCTGGTTGATTGATGTATTTGAAATAATAATCATGAACTATTCTATTAGTACAACTCTGATTTTATAATACACCCTTCATGGGTAGAATCTTGTAGTTGTTTCATTAATTTCTTGATGAACAATGCTAATAAAAAAAAAATTCAAGTATAAAAAGCAAAAAATGTCAAGGAAGAGTTAAAAAAGAAGAAAACTATTGCTCTGTTGGCAACATTAATTAATACTTCTGGTAAAAGTTAAAAGAAATTAGCTTCTGTATCTTCTAAAATAAATAATAATGCTTACCAAAGGAATTCAAAATTTATTAGGAAATAAGCACAAAGACATTTGCCATTAGCCTATGAACTAAATTCCAAAGTTATATATGTAATACAGTAAGAACTAATCTATTTCCTCTTCTGTCTAAGAGGAATCCAAAATACATGATAGTTGGAATTTAGTAAGAAAGGAAGCGATATGGAGTTAAAATGAACTGGCAGACGGTGTGCGTCGAAGGCTGAAGGTGCCATGTTGGCAGGTGCATTTGGATTCATTTATTGTGATACTGCAATTTTTACACTAGTATTCAAATAATTATCATGAGAAGTGTCTTTGTAGATATTAGGATGGTATTTCATGATCTGAATTGGATGATAGGTTGTTAGTATAATCAGCTAATCTTGTCAGGATGAATGGGGATGTCAGCGACAAAGAGAATGTACCAGAAAGGAAAGTGTTAATTACTAGAAGTGTTTCCTTGGGTTCTGATATATGGATTTGCGTTTATTTTTTTTTTTTAATTGACAACTTTTGGGTAGTTGGTTGGTTATCTTTTAGGTATAAGACACAAACTGCTAAATTTTGTTTTGATTTGATTCAATCATCAGATTTAAATTGTTGATTCAATAATTTCAGAATATTCTATTATTATTATTAAATAGCACTACATCCCAATTATTTGAGACTTGGCCTGCTCCAGCATGGATCTCCAGTTCTCCCGGTTAGTTGCTGCAGCCTTCCAATTTCTGACACCAAGTAGTCTACATGCATCAGCAGCCACACAGTCTTGCCAGCTCAAACATGGTCTTCCCACTCGTCTGTTTCCAAACACAGGCTCATTCATAGCTCTCTGTGGGGGTGCATTCATATCCATCCGCGCGACATGTCCCACTCACCGTAGTCTTGCCAGTACGATGAATTAGCTCACATCCAGGTCATAAAAACAATGTCTTTATTTCCAAATTCGTTCTCCTCCTCCAATTAGGTGGTGTTTCCTGGGCCCCTCCAAATATGCGTCGTATAATCCTTTCAAATCTGAGCAGGGATTTCTCAACTGCTTTAGTTAAGGTCCAACTCTCACAGCCATATGTGAGCACTGGTCTAATAAGAGTTTTATATATTCTTATCTTGCCCTGTCTTGACAACATTCTACTGCGAAGATGTCTCTGGAGGGAGAAATAGCACCGATTAGCCACTGCGATCCTCCTGTCTATCTCACAATCAATGTTATTTCGTGCATTTATCAATGAACCAAGATATAAAAATTCGTCAACATTCTAGATTCCACGCTGTTCTAGCCATGCTTGGTTTTCCCTTGTTAGACGTGAGGATAGGGTGGACATATATTTTGTTTTGGACGCGTTGATAATAAGACCGACTCTTCCAGACTTGTAAAAGCTTCCTGTACTGCCGCAAACGATCTTCCCATTATATCAATGTCGTCCGCATATCCAAGTATTTGGGTCATTCGATTTAGGAGGGTTCCTGTAGTCTGGATACCAGAAAACCTTATGACTTTTTCAAGGGTAAAGTTGAATACCACACATGGCAGAGCGTCTTCCTGCCTTACACCTGTCGATGTTCTAAACCCCTTTTACAAGTCACCTTGTACTCGTACGAAACACTCATTACCCTCTATTATCATTCTAACAAGCCTTACAAGTTTTTTAGGTACATTGATTTCTACCATTGCTTTGTATGCTTCCTCACGATTTATGGAATCATATGCTTGCTTGAAATCAATGAAGATGTGATGTGTACCAATTTGATATTCTTTGGTTTTCTCCAGAAGGATTCACAAGATGAATATTTGATCTATGGTTGATTTACCCTTAATGAATCCGGCCTGGTATTTTCCAATTGCAGCCTCGGCATAAAAAATGATTCTTCTATAAAGAATCCTTGAAAAGATTTTATAGGCGGTGGGTAGAAGGCATATGCCCCTGTAATTATTACATTGATAGACGTCCCCTTTTTTGTACACTGGGCATATAATGGATTTTTTCCAATCACTTGGAAGCTGTTTATCAAACCAAACGGCATGAAACATTTCCTGGAAGAGTTTTATGAACTCTTGACTACCATGTTTATAGAACTCTGCGGGGATGTTATCAATGCCTGGGGCTCTATTGCTTTTTAGTCCTTCTAAGGCTTCATTGATTTCTTCCTCGTCTGGGGTTTCTAAGTCTTCACCACCTGTAATTGGATCATTTGCCTCTGAGACATTTGTGCCATTTCTGTTAAGAAGAGTATTCAGTCCATCAGTCCGAAATGCCTTGTTTGTCAGTTACTAAGAAGCCATCGTTTGCTTTGCATCCTGTGGTATGGGCGATAAAGGGCTTTCTTCCTTTATTAATAACCTGGAAGAATTCTCTAGTATTTTTGGAGATGAAGGCCTCTTCCATCTCCTATAGACTCTTATTCTCCCATCGTCTTTTCTTCCTCCTATGGACATGCCTCTCGTGCCTTCTCGTTGCTCTGTATTCCTCTACAGAGCTTCGTGTGTGCTTCCTTTGCATCATTTTATTGTATGCAATGTTTTTTCTCTTGGTCACTGCACCACATTCGTCATCAAACCACGGGTTATATATCTGCTTGGTCTTATCTCCTACAACCTCGTTCGCTACTTCCATAAGTGCAGTGTGGCATGAGTTCCATTGTGACTCGAGATTTGATTCTGGGACAGAGTTCCTTAATCTGATGTCCAGTTGGTATGAGACTCTAATGCTTGTATCACTGTCCTTAAACTTTTCAATATTGTACCTCTTCAGAGAACCTCGAGGCTGATACTTCACTGTTGATATCCGATACCTTATTTTTGCAATTACAAGGTAGTGGTCCGAGTCAAATTTAGCCCCTCGTTTTGTGCGAACATCAAGTAATGAGGATTTATATCTGGCGCTGACGAGCACATGGTCGATCTGAGAGCTTGTAGTGGATCCTTTCCGTCCGAATTTCCTCCATGTTTCTAGATGCACTAACTTGTGCGGGAAATAGGTACTTCCCACAACCAAATCCTTAGAGGCTGCGAAGTTCACCACCCTTTTTCCATTGTCGTTAGAGTTCTCATGAAGGCTATTTCTTCCTATAGTAGGCCTAAATGCTTTCTCTTTTCCAATTTGAGCATTGTAGTCTCCAATCACTATTTTCATATAATGAGCAGGGCAGTCATCAAAGCACTTCTCCAGTTCCTCATAGAATTCGTCTTTCATTTCATCTTCAGAGACTTCTGTAGGCGCGTGTACACAGATGATGCTGACATTGTGAAACTTTCCCTTGATTCGCAAGACACAGAGTCTGGGGCTTGAAATCTATAACTTGCTGGGTCACTCTTCTTCCCACAATGAATCCAGTCCCAAACGAGTGTAATCGGTCATGACAACTGTAATAAATGGTGTGCTGGCCTTTCTTAAGGCTGCCTTGTCCAGTCCACCTGATCTCTTGGATGGCCGCTATGTCTATTGAATATGTTTTTAAAATGTTTAGGAGCGTTTGTGTAGCTCCGTGTCTATGTAGAGTTAAAACTTCCATGAAGCCAAAGTGTAGTCCAATTGATGAGCGTTGTGTCGTTTCCTGTTTATCGGTCCGGGTAATCTTTTTGGAGCATTCATAATAGAGGTAATTTAAGGGGAACGGGTTATCAGCCCACTGCCCCCGAGTCAGGTGGAGGGGCTGCCTCCTCAGAGCGTCCTGACGTGCTTCCCCATCTGGGGCGGCTTCTCAGGGAAGGTGATCCTAGGGAGTGTTCTGTTAGTGACCTTGTGTCAGTGTCAGTGAATTGTGTACTGTCATGTGTGTTTTGCACAGTATACTGGACTCGGGAGGCAGGAGGAGCGTCAGTCCCCACTAACTGTGCGCATTGTAACTTTTTAATTTTTCAAAACATGGTTTAGGGCTGAGGACGTGAATGAAATATTTGATGTTTTAAAAAATTATCTTGTAATCATTTTTCGTTATTAACAATTATCATACTTTATTCATAAAAATATATCTGCCATCTATAGAATAGTGATCCTAAAATATATTCTTTGTTTTTAAATTTAAATTTAAAAACTATACCTCACCAAGGAAGCAAGAACATTTTACATGGTAGTTCCTGTGTTTTAATGACCCAAACCTAACTATAAAAAAAAAATGTTTATCAAACATTGATCGATTAAAGTATTATTAAAAAAGTTGAATTGCCCTAATATAGCCCCTGTGATAGTATTGTTTTATAGGAAAAATTTAGTACATTTCCAAGAAGAGTCCTCAATCTACATCTAAGATTTGTTGTATTTCAGTTCAATAAAAATAAAACTCACTTTAACATTATTTCATGAATTTTAGGAAAGTTTGTCTTGTTGAAAAGCAACAATTCTGAATAAAAATTTCATTATTTTGATGTGATTTAATGTTTGAGGGTCAATATCTCATATAACAAGGAAGCAGGTTAGGCCAGTTTTAATGATAAGATTCTTTTTAGTAATATTTTATTTATTTCTATACTAGTTGTCCACTATTAAAAATAAGCAGTTCCAATTTTCATAAAACATCTCCATAGTTATAACTTATAATATCCCGCCTTTTGATTTTTGGTAGCATTTTTCACCAGAAACAGACTGACATTTTTCTAAATATTTAACTGATCATCCGTTATTGAAAGATTTTAAGATAATGAATATTTTTGAGTCAGTGTATATTTTAAAAGATTATATACATTACCTTATCCTTAAACTTAAACTTATTATCCTTAAACCTCCCAAGAGAGAGGCTTTTTATTTTATATAGAATGTAAATAATGCTGTTTTTATTATTTTTCTTTTTATTATGCTTTTTCTTGCTTTTGCTGGTTGAATAACTGAGGTGGGCACTTCCAATGTCCAGGCACTTTAATATTATTTTTGTTTTAAATATATAAAAATTTTTGAACGATTCAACAGTTCTCGAGGTGTTCAAGAGAACTGATTGCTGTACCTATTTACTTAGCACATCAAGAGATAATTCCCGACTACCTGTACCTGCTACTATTTATTTTAGTATCAGCCCATTAGTGAATATTATAATTGGCATTGTTGTTAAGATTTCCAATTGATATAGTTCCTTAAATTCGATAGCCAATTATTATTCTTATTTTAAAAAAAAATAATAGATATTTTTCTGGAGTGGGAAAAAATTAACTTCAACCATTTCACATCAATTTTTGTAGTTAAATAATCTATTGTATATTTAGGAAGCTCCTTACGATTCTCACAGTGTTCAGCAGCACAACTTTCTGGGTATCATTTATAATGGCTGTTGAGAGGCCCAAATTCTCGGTTGCTTCTACAATATATTTTGGAATCAGCCCATTGCTAGAGATCACTAAGGTCTTACTGTTGCTTTGTCCAGTCTGTACAAATCTTTTAACTCAGCTGCAAGAGTTTGATATTTCCGAAGGTTTTCTGCACAAACTGAGTTGGTGTTCCCATCATTTGGCACATCGATATCTATTATCTCATCTATCTTCATATTACTATCAATCAACACAATATCAGGTCTGTAATGGATCACAGTATGGTCTGTTATAAAAGATTGATTGCAGTACAATTTTACTCCTTCCTTCTGGACCAGTTCTTTAGTATTGTACTTATAATAAAGTATTGAATCATTCAATAACTTTCTTTTTAGAACAATTGCCTCATGATAAATTTTTTCAATATTGTCATGCCTCTTGACGTATTCTGTACCAGCCAGCATTCCGCACCCTCCAGTTATGTGCTGAATAGATTCGAACGTGCTGCCACAGAGTATATATACACTTGTATGATACTCTCTGTTGCTTCAAGGTGTGCCACAAGTAAGGCCTCGTTGCTATGGCCTGATCTTGGATTGCTGTGAGAAAACCCTCTGTCTCGGAAAACAGATTCCCTTTAACCAGCCAACAGTTGACAATGTTTTATATAGATCAGTTTTATTTATTATTATTATTTAATTATCCTTAAAGATCATATAATAAAGATTATTTTAATCTTTATCAATTAAATCACTAAAAATATTTTGGATGACACTTCAAGTTACCTTTCCACTTCCAAAATTGCTGTTGTAATTTAAGACTTTATATATATTCTATATTATTGAGTTTAATGAAGCTAAAATGGTTTGGCAGTGTGAATATATAATATATAATTATGTGACACTTATAATATATAATTCATAGATTTATATAAATTTTTTTTGTAATTATGTTAAAGAAATACATCAAGCAAATTTGTACAAATGGATGTAATGAGGTGAAAACATTTGTTGGGAAACTACCCTCTGGTAGCACTTTAATTTGTATAAATATAAATTTATATTTTCCCACTAGAAATATCACTAAAATCAATAATCACAAATTTTCAAATTGGATTCAGTCATTCTGTCACCTGAAAGGCTCCTATATGAGTATTTTCAATGTGCCTTACATTACATTTAAGGGTTCCAGATTCTTTCTTTGTTGATCATAATTATTATTTTTTTTAATGTTTCTGATGGAAATCAAAAGTTCCTAACTTTTTTTTTCTGTATGTGTCAGTGTTTTTCTTTTATTTAAATGAATATAGATTTTTAACATTAATATTTCAAAGTCATTCCTATGGGATACGTTATAAGCATGAAATGCTTGATGTTTAACATAATTTTATTTTATTTATTTATTTTTTTTTTTTTACGATCCGTGGTCCAGTACATTAATAAACAATCCATTATCATGGAAAAAAACATTAATATGATAAATTAAGGTTTTAATTTCTTATTATATTTCTAGGTTCTAAATTTTTACATTTTTCTATTAGTTTTACTTCGTAGTAAAAGTTATTTACTATTTAATGATTTATTTAAGCAGTTTAAATAAAAAGAGCTAGGACAGAAATCACAGCCATAAATAATCAATTTTTTAAATAGATTTAGTGAAAGCAATATTTAATTTTTACAAATAATTAAGTCATAAAGACTTTAAGTAGTATAAACAAATTTATTTTAGCAAGATGAAAAGGTAAATGTTTATTTTTTGAAGCGAAATTGTATACATACTGTTGCAACACAATGCTCTTACTTGTAAATATCTTAAGCAAAAATCTCACAAATGGTGTACAGTTTTATTAAAGACACAAATATTTATTTTTTCCCATTAATTTAATTTATATTATTTATTTTTAGATGAAAATTTGTTAAATTTGGTCTGATCCTGTCTTTATAACCTTGTCTTATAACTCAGTTGCCATGGGGAGCAAAGGAAAACAACTAACCAAAGATTCAGTCTTATTTCCTTCTGTGGAAGGGCATTGACAATTCAAAACTGTTCAGTAATCAATATTTTTTTACCATTAAAATGTTAACTTTCAAAAGAATAGACAGAAAGTTTCAGTTTAAATAGCATAACTTTTGTACAACATAATGAAAAATGGAAAGTTGTGATTCTGGAGTAACAAGTCCTGTTTTGAGGGTTACTGCAGAAATTACAGAAATAAAAGAAAAACATGAAAGGTATAATATTATTACAGTATTTTTTAGTTATTTTCTTTAAGGATATATTTTTTTTTTTTTTTTTGGATTTTCAGAAATGCTAATCACAATTACAGTGTGTCACCATCATTGACAAGTAGAGAATGTAAAAACCATCCAGCATATACTAAAAAGAAGTTTTTAAAGCCTCTATATGGTAAGAATATATATATATATGTAATTTTTTTAGTTTAAATTTTAAATATTTTTAATACTTTCTCTGTAAGGATGCAATCCATATGAAAGAAGCAATTGTGGAGGTAGTTACGTTTCCAGCCAACACAATCCTAAAAATAATGTCAGTTCATTCACACAGAGAGTTATGTCAGCTAAACTATTACGAATGAAACAGCTTCAAAATCAGCTTTATGAAACACAAGCTAAATTGAATGTAAGTATAATTTTTTCATTCAAGAAAAATTTTGTTTGTTCTTCTATCTGAAAAATTGCGGCCAAAGAAGCTTTATGACATGCCTGAGCTTAACTTAAACTCCTTACGAATACTCTATTCATGTTTATAAAGATTATATATAATAGGACATTTGATAATTAAAATAAATATATTAATGAAACATACTGCTGCCTTATTTAGCATGCTCCCTATACTAACTTTATAAATATCAAATAGCAGATACTTGCAAAAATTAAAAATTATAATATTGAAATAAAAACTTTAATTTCACCGTTTTTGATGAATTTCCTTCTATTACATTTTAAAAGGAATTAGTAGTAATACTTCGTTGGTTGTGTTAATATGTTATTAAATTTTATTAAATGACATGGCAAAATAAATCATCAGGTTTTGTTTGCTCATTATTACTTCAGATAAATATTATATAGATTTTTTAACAAGTATCTGGTATAATTGTTTAGTTTATTTTTAAAGACACAGTAACTGATTCACAAAATAATGTATAAGCCATGTAAAAGAGAAGCGGCCCTGGCTAATAATTTGCTTTTAATGACCTAATTGTTTTATTGAATCAAGCTCAAAAACAATCAAAATGTCTAATACCATTGATTTCTTGACACATAATTACTTTTGATTAATGTTTGTTTTTTCTTTCATCTGGTAAAGTAATTTATTTTCCTCAATGTTACCATAAGGACTATTAAGAGTTATTTAATTTAAATAAATAACCCTTAATACAAAACATGCATTAGTCCCTGAAAATTTACATTTCAGTGTTTCTGTATATTTAAAAATAAAATTAAAAAAAGGAACTGAAACAATAATTGCTGAAAACTCATATAAAAATACATAAATTATAATATAATTCAAACAGACAATAATTTGTGGTGGGTTAATAATTTTTCCTAACCTAATAAAAAAAAAAAATTTATTTTATTGATCCTTGCAGAGGAACCTCTGACTGAACTAATCATGAATTGTTAATATTTCTCTAGGAAGTTATGCAAGAAAATAGAACACTAAAAACAGTGCAACAAAGACAAGATAGTGTTCTAAAAAAATATGAAGGAAATCAAGAGCAGTTACCACAGTTAATGCGATCACATCATGAGGAAATCAGAGTTCTTAATGAGAAATATAAGCAGGTATATTTATTATAGTTGTTTTCTGTTCTTAACATTTTTCTTATATTTTACCTGTTAATCTATACCGATTTCATTACTTCTCTAATATCTGCTAAATAAGTTCAATCTGAATTACCACATTACTTAATATTAATTATACTCAAATTTTAAAACAAATCAAAATAAGATATATTAAAAAACGATTTTTTTTTACCTGAATACAAAAATACAAGGACATTTAGTGCCAAATAATATTAGTTGATGTATAACTAATTAAAAATAAATTACTGTTTTACAGCTCAGAAATAATTATAAAGAATTAGAAAGTAGATTGAAGTTAAAAGATAATGAACTAACAAACCTTAGGGAACAACACAAACATCTGTTAAAACTCTCAAAGGATAAACATCTTGGAGAAAGGGAAAAGTTATCTAAAAAAGTAGAAGAAATGCAAACCACAATTGATGAACAACGGAAGAAAATATTTGTAACATAATTAATAATATTAAATCATTTTTTAATTTGGAAGCTACTAGTGTATTGTATAATGTGTATTTGTTTCTTTTTCAGATGCTGAGTAAAAAATTGGATTTAGAGGAGAAAAGCTTCAATCACCAACTGAACCAAGAAGTAGCAAAGCAGAAAAAAGTACAAAGTGAATTACACGGTGCCTTAGAAACTATTAACCATCTCAAAGCTTCATTAGAGGTAATTACTGGAAAATGTTATGTAAAAGGCATTAGTAAATCACATGCTCATTAAAGTTTCTAAAGCGATGATCATGGTTTTATCCATAGGGCTGTCTCCCCTTTTAACATGAAAAACAATTCAAATAAAATAGAAAAATAAATAAAAATAAAAAAAATTGACAGTCATAGATTATTTATTAAGTTGTTTTTTTTTAATACTTTTTATAATAAGTTTTATTATATTATAATAACTTTTTTTAAAGAAATTAATTATGAAAAAAAAGATACCCTTTTTATGAAATAAAGTAAATTTAGAAAAAATTGTCCCTTTTTTTGAGCTGAATATTTCCTTGGCCAACCATGTCATATTTCTCCTGAGAAACAGCCTTGAAACTTAAATTTTGTATTTACTTTCGTCAAGTACAAATACTTTAAGTACTTACATCTAGTACTTACAAAAATACTTTCTTCTATAATTATCGTTATTCATAAGCCAATTATGATACAATGCAAAATTTAAATGCCATTGCTTATGAATATAGCCTCTAAAATTTACCATGTTGCAATTTAGTTTATTAATAAACTTGGATAAGAAGAGTGACTTGAGGCTCTATGGATAATCATGGTTTCGTCAATTTTTAATTGATTGTTCCATTAGTTATTCAATAGGTAAAAATAATATATATACATCTATGTTACAGTTTAGTGCTCCATTATATTTAACTATTTTATTGTGTTTGGAAGATTGTCCTTTTTATTGAATAATTACAAACTTAATTAAAATATAATTATGTTAATAATTGGTTCATAAATAATAGGAATTTCATACTTATATGTAATTAAAGAAAAACAGGCTTTATTTTTAGGTAAATACCAAGTGGTAAAAACTAGATTTGAATCTCATGCTTTATTATCAGTTCATCTCCACATGATTCTGGTCAGTCTGAATATTACTATCAGGGCTGAAAAGAGAAAACAAGGGCCCGGCATCAAATTTTGTCAGACACCCATCAAATATTAAATCTCCCACTGAAACTCAACCCTTTTTAATATAATATATGCAACAAAAAATATTATTTAATTACTATATAATATATGTAATATTTTGTTTTTAAAAAATTATAAGGTAAAAATAAAAACTAGTCGACCGAGTTGGGCAACCTTCAAGTCCCCAGCTGCCTCCCTTACTCGTTGGCCTACATATATACACACATGGATGGCACTGTGATAAAAGGAGAAATTACATAAAATTTAATTTTCAACTGTTATTTAAAATCAGTTGTCACAATTTTAGTTGATCATTAAAATTAAGCATTTTAAGCGTTTTCCACATTTTAAAGAGAACCCACTTAGATTAATGATTCTTAATTTTAGAAAAGAAGAATAGTTGGGGTGATTAGTAAAAATAATATAATATTATAACTAATTGTTTTTACTACTTTTTTTTTTTTTACTGATAACTCCAAACATTCTTCTCTTCAATTATTCACTACAGTCAACCATGAATCCACAATTTTTAATTTTAATATCTGCTTGGTAGAGATTTAGTATTAAACTCTGGTTTTTCTTAAGTATTATTTACATTTAATCACCAATGCAAAAAGCATTTTACTAAGTCTAAAAATATCAATTATAAATTGTTAACAGGAAAAAGAAAGACTGTCAACTTCCTCATTTCGTAGGTCAACCCAGAGTTCTGGAAAAAATCATCAAACCCCTCTAAGGTGGGTAATTTACAAATATCAATTAAACTATGATAAATTTTGATGATAATTTGAATTTCATCTCGGATTTGTAGAGTTTCATTTCGACAGCCCCAGCAAAATGCCAGAACTGACACTGCTGTGGAAAATGAGTCCGAAACTACAGATGATTCCTTTACAGTGAGTGATGTGATTATTAGTTTTATCTTGATAAGTACTAAAAAAAAAAAAAAAAAATTATTATTTGATTCCTCAACTGTATTACTTATTTTTATTTAGTCTTTCTGATAATTTACATGTTTTCTCTGAGTCTAAAGAATGTTATTCTGCTTTTATTGTTCTTTATTCCTCAAAGACAAGGATATATTACAAGAATTAGGAGTATTCCTCTTCATTCTAAAATATAGCATCATTTTTAATGGCACTGTATGGATATTTACTGATTCCAAGTCATGAAGGAAACCGAAAGTTAGAAAATAAAAGTCTTCCAGGATGGAGCTAAAGCATTAGTTGATACATTACCAAAAACAAAATTCTTTACTTTTTTCATTTGTGAGTCTCCTTACTTTTTTTTCAGTTCTCTCAACTCAAAAAATTTCTTCATACTGAATTAGTAATAAAAACCATATTAAATTTATATTGTATATGGTCACCATTGATGCATTTGATAAGTATATTTTTTAAATTACTTAAAGCCTATTTTTGGCTAATTGTTTGTTGTTTTTTCTTAATACCTAAATAGATTAGTGGGTTGATAATTAACAAAAGAAAAATATCAAAATTATAGATTTATAGTAAGAAAAATGTATATTACTGGGAAATATTTAGATCAGGATTTCATTATTTGTAATATAAGTGCTAAGAATAAAATTATATGAGCAATAATATAATTATGCAATTAATTTTAATATTGAATAATAATGGAATCACAATAAAATCAAGTTAAGAAGTTACATTATTGTTTTACACTGCTCAGATAATGGAAGACTAACGTAGTACCAAGCACAGGCGGATCTATGGGAGGGGCTTTCGGGCTGAAGCCCCCCCCAAAATGGTAAAATGTAACCATATTTTATAGAAAAAAATACTTTATACTATCTCTTAAAGTATTCTTGTTGGTGTAATTACATTTAATAGAACTTCAAGAACCACTTAAACACCATTTCATATAGATAATTAATTAATTTCTTTTTTTTCAAATTAATTATCATTATATATATATATATATATATATATATATATATATATATATATATATATATATATATATATATATATATGAAAAAATAAAAACTGTCGGGCTGAAGCCCCCCCCCCAAAACTAAATCCTGGATCCGCTAATGGTACCAAGGAGGCAAAGGGGAGTGCCTCCCCAGATAATCTATTGAAAATATTTGTCAGGTGTTAAAATTAATTATGACATTGTATGTTCCAAAGGAATTTATTTAGTATCAATACAAGACTTTACTTCATTATTACGTCTAATAAAGTGCAGAAGCAAACTTTTAATAGAAGTTTTACTTTCTATCATAAGAAAATTCTGGATCTGTCCATGGGGCAGACATTATTTCTGTTTCTTGGCAGTTTGTTATTCAGCTCTACACTAATTTGTACCATCATTTCAACCAATTTATGTTCTAAGTTTAACTATATTTATTATATTTTCACTCCTCCATTATCCATTCTAATTACAGCAGGAGAGACTTAGCTATTTAATATGTTGAAATTGCATGAAATGGAAAGCTCAGAGATCATCGATATTATATGCTATTTCTGCGTGTTCCTCCTCAGAAAGTATGCTCCATCTTCTCTGACTGGGGCCATAATAAACATGAACACTTTTCTCTGACAAACTTTACAATATAAATTTTTCAGCTGAGTTTTTGTAGGTTACAGGTTCACAATCATAGGTCAGAGTTAGCCGGATGATGGAGTTATAGAAACTAATCTTTGTACAATTTAGCAAATTAGTACTTAAATTGCATATAATTACTTAAATTATGAAACTTCTTTATATCTAATATACATTGTTAGCTACAATAATTCGGTATTATGTCTCTTCCTCTTCATGTAGTTGATTAACAAAAATTAAATTCACATACTTGAAGCTGGATATACACTGAAATGAGTAACATTCTATCATACACTGTTTTGATGAATTTGAGGTTGACATAAAAACTTTAAAAATCAGTGTCAGTAACATAAATATTCAGAATAATTAGATTCAGTTTGTTAAATTTCTAAATGGACTATATCACAAGGTCCTTATCAATTCGAGCGTTAAGCCAATCACTGATTTCAAGCTGAGTAATGATTAATATTATCTGGAGTATAGGTTATATTTGATCAAGGTTTAAAATGGAGTATAAAACATTATGAAAACTTCACCCCTATGGATAGTGGTCAGACCAGTTGATAGAATAGTTTTAAATATTATACATTATAATTAAAAAATTATATTATAGTATATACGAGACATTATAATTGTCTCATAAATGAAAAATCAGAATTTATTTAAAAGTACATTATTATATTTTTCAGATGAACTACAGTCCTGTAGCTCATAGAAGCAGCAGTCTTGAATCAGATTCTTCTGGGTCAGCCAAAGAACAAAATCAAACGGATAACAGAACTCTACCTGCCAGTAACTCTTATGTGAGCATACTGAACTCTAAATTGAAAAATGGACTAAAAATATCTAGAAATTCGGCAAATATTACAACTAATGAGTCATCCAAACATGATCAAAACATTGTTACTGGGAAAAAAGAATTTATATTCAAATCAGAAGAATCAAAGGTAAGAAGGAAACTTCAAGCACAAAGGGCATATCAAAAACCTTCTGCAGCAAAATCAGATTCAAGGAGAAGTAGTTTAAATAAGTCAGCTAATAATATAAATAAAACAAATGATAAAGAATATGAAAAATTAGATCAAGCTAGCTCAGAAGAGCAAATAAAGAAAAATGATAAAGAAAAACTATTTCTTTCAAGTTCAACAGAAAGCAATGAAATAAAAACTGGAAAAACGGAAGTATCAGCCAAATCTGAAAAAATTGACAATGATATGAAACTGGATTTAGACACAGAATTTGAAAAATATTTTCAAAACACACACCTATCAGATGAGGCAATTAATGAATTTTACCAGAAAGATTTTAGAGAAGAAATTTATGAATTGGAAAGAAAATTTCAAGAGCTAAATCAGCAGAACAATGAAAAAATTGAAAATATGAAAGCTGTGAATAGGCCCAGTCATATTGCAACATCATCAGCTGAGAGCGAATCAGACGAGATAAATTCTTCAATAGTGTCACAACGAGAAGAAAATAAAATTGAAATAGAAACTCCAAACACAACCGAGGATTTAGCAGTAACTGAAACAAAATCAGCTATGCCACCGCTTGGAGAGACTCAAAAAGCTGATCTTTTGAAAGCATTAAGTAGTATCGACAATGCTTTAAACAAAAATGCCCAAGGTGATAGAATTGAACTTCCACAAATAGCAAACAGTCCCATTCTCACTTCAGAAATGTCTTATTCTGACAAAGTAAATGAAATCAAGAATAACTACTCTCGGACCAGGAGGAAGTCCGAAGTTATAAAAGACCTTTTTGGAGGTGATGCTGCTGTGCTCAAATCGTAACATGTGGTTTATAGTGTGTGTATACAGTGAACATTTCACTGGTTCCAATCTTCCAAAAGGTACTTCAAAGCAGATTTAATATCCTAACTTCATTTATAAAGCTGTTGTGATATTCATGGAGTATTTTTAATATATAAATATGACTTATCTACAAAAGGAATTGCATTACATAAATTATTATTTTCTCACAAATATATCTATAAAATGGGAGAAATAAAACTATATTTATATTTTGTAAAAATATATAATTGCACTTTATTTTATTTTAAATAAATAAATGAACTAAACATGTTTTAACACTATTGACAATTTTTAACAATACATTATTTTTACAATTTTTAATTATTATTTTTTATTTACAAAAATATATACAAATATATAACATTTAGTCTGGTATACATAATCAAGTACAATGATTTTTCATAAAAAAAAAAATTAAACATATTGAAAGGAATTGAAAATAATCTAAGATAAATTAAAATCTTAACATTTAATTCACATTATTTATTTCATTCATGCTGTGAACAATAATTAAAATATAACAGATTAATAAGTTAATTCAGGTTTATACATAAATAAACTTCATTAAAAATTAAAAATAACAAAAATATTGTTCAAAGGCACCGGAGGCAGTTTTCTTTGTTCCAAAAGATTAAATCTGAACGAAAGGAGCAAATATTTTTGTATAATACTTGAACACGGAAAGACCAGATTATAAGTAATGTGAAAATGCATCAGAGTTCACCCATTGCAAAAATAATGTTTGATAATGCAGTTCTGGCATCACTATCCTGGAAGACACTCAATACTTCAAGAGCTTTTTGTGAATGTTCCTTCTGCAATTGTTTTGTCAATTCAATGCCAGGCCCTTTTGAAACAATTTTATGGACCTAAATGTAGTAAACAAATATATATTACATTAAAAATTAAATATTTAATAAGATTTTAAAATTAAAATTGATATTTTATTTGGATTTCTTATCAATATGAATATGAACCCGCAAAGAAAAAATAATAAAATGTTGATGTATAACAATTGAATTGGGTACTTGTATGAATTTTCAATTTTTATTCATTAGTGAAGATTAGGTTATAACAAGAAAAATGCAAAAATTCCCAAATTTTCTTATGAATATTTTCAAAAATAATTAGCATTAAATAAAAATGTTGAGGATGGAGCTTTGCCACAAGAGTGGAGACACGGACGGATACATTATCATGGCCTGCCAGCATCTATCTCAGACCATTGTTTATTTTTCTTGCCAAGAAGTTGCAAAGAAGCCAAGAAAGATATCTTGATTAATGAATGAAATAAAATTGTCCATTCATATTTGACTGTAAAAAATTACATGATAAAAACATATAATTAAAACGTAAAAGTCAGTTTAAACAACCTTAAAACTTGAAATTTTTGCCTTAAACTCAAATTGCTACACATATTTTTGGGTGTACATAAATGTTTTAAATTAGAAAAAGTTTTTCAGCTACATGGATCATTATGATTATGTGTGTGTGTGTGGGTTGTTATTAAAATAACACACAGAACTAGAATCATGAAAATAAATGTATGTATGTATTAAATTTAGTGTTCAATATAAAATATAATTTGTTTTAGATAAAAACAATTAAAGAGATAAACATATTTGTGGAAGAAGGGGGTAAAACGAATAAAGTGAACTTGAATAAACAGATCCTTAGGAGTGAAGTTGTGACACTGTAAATCAACAGTTTATTATTTTTGTGAGAGGGAAGAGTGACTGAGTGGGCGAACCACACATTGCCCGGCAACTTGATAAACTGAAAATTATGAGTTCAAGCCCTGTTGCTGGGGGCTTATAACCAATATCTTTTTTTCCTCCCTTATTATTTTTATTATTAACATTATTATTTTTAAAAAATGTTTTAATTATTCCTTAATTAATTAATTATAATTAATATAATTATTCTTTTTACCCTTTATTTATTATAAGTTTCTCTATTTTTCCCTATAGTTATTTCATTCTAAGAATTTCAAATTTTATTCTTTTATACACCATAAGATAAGTGGTTACACTATTCCACAGCAAAATATTGTGGAGACCGATTATTTGTGTTCTCATTTTCTTTTTGAAATGGTAAGATTTTCATTTTCTTTTTTCTTGTGGCCTTTTCTCTAACTAGTTTTGTTGAGAGTTTGGTAGGAGTATTAAAATAATATATATTTTTCCCTTTTCATAAATGATAATCTGCTTTTCACGATTGAGTTTGTGGCATTTCAACAAGGATACTGCCTCATTACACAATTTCAGGCCTTAAACGTTTTAAATGAATTTCAAAAAAATGTTCATTTAATTATTCAAATTGCTGACTAGACTGATGTTAGTCCATGGTAAATTAATAGTGAATAGAAAAATTTGGAATCACGCTTGGATTGGATTTATTTATTAATAAAATATTTTCTTATTCAACAAATCTGCAAAGTAAATAAAGAATGTTACCTTAGCATAATCAACATCATGAATTGTATCACAGCCTTTATCAATCTCCTTATATAATGAGGGGTCTTTTTCAAGATGAAACATTACAGGAGCAGAAGTTAAGCTGAACACAGATCCTGGAATATAGTTGGATCCAATGAATGGCTCTAACTCAAGACAGGCCTGGAATAATATTTAAAAAAATTTAATTTAATGAAAAAAAAACTATATTGAACAACAAATTAATCCTTACCTGCCACGCAAGTGCCAAATGCTTTCCAAATTTGTAGCCTTCTTCTTGCAATTGATTAGAATGGCCTGCTAATTTTAAAGTTCCCTGACATGATTTACCCAGAAGACTTCCAGCTGAAAGTACATTCCTCTGTGTCCAATCGGAAAGGGCATTCTTTTCACCCCCGGTTGAAGGAAGAGGATTATTCTGCTTATCTCTACGGCCTAGAAATTCACTAACAGCTTGGTCACGAACAGCACTTGACATCAATATAACTACCTAAAAATAATCATAAATAATAATCAGTTATGATAAAATATACCAAAACAAAATGGAAAATCATAGATCCAATGAAATGAATTAATTTTTATTAATGAGATCAACATTTACCAAAGTTAATTATGTATTATACATTTATTTTGATAAGAACATTTAATTTGTCATTTCACTAGTATAGCATTTATTTATCTATGTATACAACTTTTATTTGGAATTTTTCATGTCAACTAGAATGGTCATTAAGATTTTAAAAAAAATCTATTGACCTATTTCAACTACAACAAAAATTGATCAAAAATGAATAATTAAAAGTTTATTATTGATTTATATAAATAAGAAATCTCCGAAGTAAACTACTGTTTTATTCTTTCTTTTTGAAAGTTTTAAATTCAAGATCCATACCTTCATCAGTAAGCAATGCATAGCTGCTGATTATAATATTGGGCAAGGGTCCAAGGAGAGAACGCAATCGAATCTAATTACCTACCTAAACCTATTTTCTTCTACGATAAGTTACAATGCTTTCAATACGGAGGAAAACATTACATATGAGAATTTTTGAAATAGGACATACAAAAATAATTATAATGATTTTAATAAATAAAATACATAGCATATACCTGTATATATGTGTAAAAAATATCATACATACAAAAAAAAAATATCAATGGAATAGTTGAATTCCTTGTTTTGGATCATGTATTTCATCAGAATTGCAATTCAAATGTTATAAATAGATATTAAAATTTAGTAAAGAATTACCTTAAGACAAAAATTCTATATAAAATCAATACTGTAAATTAATTCTTTCATTATAAATATAAAGCTTTCATTTCTAAACTTTATGTCATGACAGCTCATAATTTATAGATAGATATAATTCTAGATTTTTTTTTTCCAAAAATAGAATATAAATGTTTGAAATTCAACTCCTAAATGCTTTATCAATTTTAACTTTTTATCGATTTTTAATAGTAATTTAACCAAAATCTATTTTAAAAAATTGTTGAATACAAAACTCACATCTAAATTTCTTAAAGCTGCTAATTCAACACTCGATGTGCATAGAAGATAATCACCACTTAATAGAGCTATTTTGTTTCCAAATGTCATATCTTTCAATTCACTTGGTTCTTCAAATTGGCCTGGATAAATGTTTACTAGACCCTTATGGACTAGGTGACTTGTACGTATCATTTCAGTGACTTCAGCAAGTGCTCTTTGGCTATAATTATAATATATAATTAAATTCATCACATGAATGCATAGTACTTCCACATGATGATTTGAATCTATCTAATAGAATTATTGATAAGATATTTTTTAATCGAATCAGAAAAAAATAAAATAAATCCATAAGCACAGGTTGCTCAAAACCCGAAACTCACCAAACCTGGGTTATAAAGAAATTAATATCAGATGCTAACCACAATTAAGGTATTTCAATAAAATTGGAAAGTGTGGTAGAGATGGGTTTTCAGAAAATATATAAGAAAAGAAAATAGGCAAGACTTCATTTGGAAAAACTCAATGTATTTCAATTCACAATCCACAATTCATATTAATCAGAGGTAAAAATTCTGTGTGTTAATACTGTATTATGATTTTATTTTTATTTAAACTCTGCATCTAATAGGTTCACCAAACAAAATAAATTCTAATTATCTAAAATTAAAAATAAATTCATTAATATAAAATAGAATGATAACCTTTTAACCATATATTCTATAAACTAAGTATACCTATGTACCCTTAAGAAGTCAACATATGTAATTCTTGAGGTCGGTTAGTCGTATGTCAGTAAGCCAAGTCTATAGTCGGTAGTTCGCCAAACGTGATTTTCACATCTTACCTGCTGCTTCTTCTGCTGGCATTGAATTAGGTATCGTCGAGGCTAAACTTACATGATGGATGAACCTTGAAGGTTTTAAGTCATTAGTTTACAAATTATTGCTCAAAAGGCCACTTTTCCTCCAATGGTTTTATCATAAGGTCAAATAGCCTTTTGATAAAAGCATTTTTGTATTTAGAGCTATCTAATGCTATAGAAATATAAATTAATACTCATTAACTAAAGAGAGGATCCATTAGCTTTTAACAAATCAGAATTGTATTTTTATTTGAAAAATTCATGTGCTCATAAAAAATTAATTATTTCGATGTAAACCTTGGTAATTGTTCACCCTTCTTAAAAGGTCTGAATAAAATGAAATAAGAAAAAAATCAGTAACGTAACATGGGTCTTCTTGAAGAATCTAGGGGATTACTCAAACAAAAAAAAAAGCAGTGCATCGAGACCTAACAAGTGCTGCTTTCTGTTGGAAAGATTGCGAATTATGTCAGTATCCCTTGACTATACTCTGTTCCTGGAGGCGAGAGAATTGGTGTAAACAAAGATAGGTATGGAGGGAGCGTGCCTATTACTAGTTGTTAAGCCTCTTCTATGTGTTACAAAGACTGAGCCGCAATTGTTGGCCCCTTTCAAGCCACTAAGAGTCCCTGGGACCTACAAAGACTCAAATACAACCTTATACCATTATTTGATCATACATTCACAATATCCTTCTTTATTACACAATATTCTACCTGACACATTAATCTTTCTTTTGTTGACTACAATAACCCATAAAAATTACTTGCTTCATTTTATGAGATAATAATACATAACAATTTAACTTTTAGCTTAATTCGTTGTTTTTTTTTGTTACATGACTTTATTTTTGAGTTTTAGGTAAACAGTAAATAAAGTTATTGATTCTTATAATTTGATGAGTTTATTACACTCAGATTAATATAAATTTTATTTAATATTATTGATATTATATGAAAATATAATATGGGTTAGGGTAGCTGGGAGGGCTAAGGTGCGTGCAATATGTAATCAAAGTTAAGCAACGTTGAGCGTGGTTAGTACTTGGATGGGTGAAAGTCCACCACAAAAACCCATCCAGCCCGAGAATCCCTCTCCTTTAAATTAATATTGATCTTGAATATTGAGTAAAAAATAGATAATAATAAATCACTTCAATGATCAAATTTTATGAATTTTAAAGATGTAAAAAAAAAAAAAAAATTACTAGCAGTAATAATTATACCATTTAACAACACCCTCTTTGAGACTAGGCTTAACTTTTACTCACAAGCTTTTAAAAAAGGAATAATTTAAAATAATTCAATTACCAAAATGGTTTCAATCTTCAACACGAAACTTGACCTTCTGTTGAGGATGGGTATATTTCAGAGAAGTTGGTTTAAACCTGTCCTCAAAAGAGAATGGAAATTCCAGAGCGTATTGTAATATGAGGTAGTAATAAGGGCCATTCCACTTAGTGCCCTCTCCATTAACTGTCTACTCCAGGGACAGAGTATAGAGACCTAACCAATTTTATTTTGGGTCCAAGTATCTCCAAATTAAAGTGCTGTAAAAACTTCGCATTAGTCAGTTGTACTGATATCATGATCATAATGAGCAAAATTTATAAACAGGATGAATTTCGTTGTTTTTTCTTTAGAAATTGCAATGTCTCACAACTGGAGAAAATTTCAATGCAATAACAATGGCATAGTTGTTTAAAAAAAAAAATCACTGTCTTCATTTAAGCAGCACACTTGTTTTTTTTTAATTTACATTAATCTTAAAATTGTCATATCTTCTATTGTAAGAACTATATAAACAAAAATGAAGAGAATGAGTTTAATGATAATGAACAGACATTTAAAAAATATAGTTTCAGAAACAAAATGTATTGTTTTTTCTGAAATTAGCACCGTATAAACAACAATCTATCATGCAGTTATAATATTACCTATAAAGCACACCAGCAGCTTTGTCTTCTTCCATGTCCTGAACATTTCTATGACCAGCTGCTTTCGAGATCAATAAAACAATTAATCCCCAGGCCTGCATATTGTTTCGACCATTATAAATCAAATTCCTGTAATAAAAATACCATTATAAGAGGGAAATTATCATGTCAAGCGAAATGCTATCCCACTTACTTGGCAGTCTTCAGGAGTGGATGGTTTGATCCAACAAGTTTTCGTAAATGAAGAGCAACGTTAGCAATTTCATCGCTTAATAGCCACCTTAAACTGAGGAAAGATGTAGGGTAACCTACTATTTTTTCTGCTTCAGAAACAGCACGATTCCAATCAGGCCTTTGATTGGCAGAAAACAATTGCCTTGATGTTGACAGTTCCCTGTTGTTGTAATACTTAGCAGAAGTATTTACACTAAAAGATCCCATAATCTTCATATTTTTCACTAAACTTGTCTCACACAACCTAATCAATTTCAATGGACTGGCACTTATTAAAGACATTTTTACTGTAACTGTAAGTAATCTTAGTAATCACCAACAAAACGTCCTCAACTGCTGAAAGGGAAAAGGAGAAAGTGATTCAACCACTAGTGTTGCATGATATGCCTCCTCCCAAGGCTACCTATTACTGGATCCCCTCTCTTCACAGAAAGTGAAAGTAACTAACTTCATTGGAAGACTTTCCATTGGTTTTCTAATAATGTTCATTAGAGTACAATGCTCTTGGGGCATATTATTCCACATACAGTAACTCATAAATGTCTTGCTTAAGTATGGAAAAATAAACTGTATGCAGTTATTTATCTTTTTTTATGACAATACTTTCTATCAGAAGAAAATGCACCATGCAGCATATTTTTTTAAAATTCTTTTCTTCAAAATTCTTAATTATAAAGTTAATTTTTGAAAAATCAAAACAAATTACTTAAACTGATAACGAGGCCAAACCTGATGGCAAGGTTATCAAGAAGGTTACAACGGTATTTCATAATACAGCACTGAAGAATGTTGGGAATCTCATCACCGCAACTAGAAAAAAAGAAATGATATTTCCATTTTTTATACTTAAGTTTATATCTGTCAGCAAATTTATGTTTCTGAGCCTGTTATAATTAAAATGATGAATACAAAGAAATATTTTTAATTAAATTTTTAATTTTTTTTTAAAATAATGTATTTATTTTTATTTCATACAAATTCATACTTCATTCTACATAAAAGTAAATACTAATCTAATCTATTGTACATCTAAAGCAAATACTACTCATTACAAATGGAAACTATCAATAAATTGAATCCAGCAACTCTAGACAGAGATTTATGCTGAGTTTAACTTCATTATAAACGACTTGCTGTATTGTTGAAGAGGGTTGACTCTTCTAGAAGGTACTGGTACTGGTGGGAAAAACTAGTCCGGCTAGTGGGCCACATGGTCCTTTTTGCCAACCTCTGGGTAAACACCTTGAGGTTGCCGTCGTGGGAATCGAACCCACAACGTTCAGAACCGGGCACTCTGGTACCGCCCTAATGTCCTCGGTCATCCCGTCTTCTCCTTGAAGGTATTAAAACACCAGAAAAAACTACTGAATTGGTAAATTTCAAAACATATATCGATACGGATAGAATGTAAACTGAATATAAATATGTAAAATAATTCAGAAATAACATCATTAAGGTGATATGGAGATCCTAATAGCCGATAGAAGCTCGGAATACCATCGATGATGTAAGGAACGGTTTGATAGTTTTTGATAGAAATCGATGAGCTAAGCGCTGAGTTTATAAACTTGCCTCATGTAAACCTACTAAATATTATTAATTAAATCATAACCAGTACGAATGTAATACGGGCATACTCAATAGGACATTGAAGAGATTGGTAGAAAACAACAGGAAGAAAAAGTTACTTTCTGACTGTTTAAATTCAAAACAATCATGGAAAAGTCTGACAGACGTTTGCCTTAGCTGTCATTTCAGGAGGTGGTTCCTAGAAGAGTAAAAGTGTCCATTTTGTGCAGTTATGCTGGAAATAAAACCTGAATTTAATTCAAAGCGGATCATCTGTCCATACAACTTACTCTTCTTTCATACACCCTCCTCTTCTGCTTTATCATTGTCAGGCGGTCACTCTGAAGTGACCTCTATCTTCAAAGCAGAAAAGGATTGGACACATATAAAGATGTTGCAGTACGAGTTCTACTTGATCGATTAGGTGAAAGAAATCACTCTATCAGAATCTAGATCCTTCCAGTCCTTAGCAGCTTCGACATTATACCTTCATAGTTGGGTGGTTCAGACAACTATAATATGCTTGGAGTTTCCGGTTTCTCAAAACTATCATATATGGTATTTTTCTCGGGCCAGGGAGTGTGGGAAGGAATTTAAAAGACGCCCCCGGCACCGGGACTCGAACTCGTGACTATATTTTACATTGTATCAGATATCAAGTTGCCGGGCAACGGCAATGCTGTGCACACACGTTTGCCCGTTCAGCCACCCCGCTCACAAAAGAAGAAATAATTCATCTACCATAAGCAAGGATTCGAACCTGGGCCCTTGAAAATTGGAAACTCAGTGCCCTACCACTGAGCTACCCCATTCCCCTCCTATCGGCAATATAAGATTTTTGTTAGAAGTAGTTGATTCATTTACCACTTATTTTCTGGTTATTCAGTCTTCGTAAGCGGAGGTTGAAGTGATCATCCCCACTAATTCCTTCCACCCGTACACGAATGCTTCGTAGTACGAGTAGTTATACTTACTTACTAGCTGAGTGTAATCGTCCTCCGTGATGATGTAGAGTTCAGTTTCTCTCAGTAGTTTGGCCCTTATTGCTTCAAAAGCGGTGCAAGTCGTGACGATATGCTCAGCAGTTTCCGGAACACCACAACAGGAACATTGGGGGTTAATTTCTTTTCCAACGCTGTGAAGCTTGGTGCGAAAATCCCCCTGCTCTGTCAGGAATTGCAACACCCAATAATCAGGGAAGACCCATTTCGATTTCAACCTTGAACAGACGGCAGGAGAGTATTTCCTCAAGGTAGAGCCTTTAAGAGTGTTTAACACCAGACATTTTACTATGTGCTTCTGCAGCAAGCTTACCTTTTTAAAATAATACAAAAAAATATGCTGATAATGTATTTTCTTCCATATTCACAGTGCAATTGCAAACACAATAGTAGGCTAGTTTCAACAAGAGTTAACAGATATAGCTGTTGACATATTACAAACAAGATAAACAATCCACCTTAGTGATTAATTCATTAGATAAGAAGTATATCATAGTGACATAAAAATAAACAGAAAAACCGGAAGGACTTATTTGTCAACCCAATAATTACAAGGAACGCAACTATGAAATGGAAAATAATTTTATTCTGGGATTGAAGTCTCCTTAGAATAATAGTTCAAAAATATGTACATTAGTCTGGCATGTAGCTATCACACAAATATATACCAAAAATACTTGGGAAATTGTAAATATAAATCTATATAAAGATACTAAGGAAAATACAAAAAATACAAAGGAAAATATAAATGTCTACAAAAAATACTAAGGAAAAACACAATTATGTATAATAAATGCTGAGAGATAAAAAAATTGAATAAATAAAAATAAAATAAAATTTATTGGGATGTGCGGGGATGGTGCACGGTAGGGGGAGGGGGGTCTGGTAAAACGTGTAATATACTTTTCAAAACAATTCTCGACTTCCGTTTACCGTTCCAGTCAATGCTCGGTTATCTTCAAGAACAACCTCCAAATAGGGCGGGTTGGCCGAATGGGCTAACGCGTGTGCACAGTACCACCGTTGCCCGGCAACCTGATTAAGATTAATGATATAAAAATAGTAACGAGTTCGCGTCCCGGTTCCAAGGCGTCTTTTAAATCCCCTCCCACATCCTCTGGCCCGAGAAAACCCCGTATAGCCGTCACGGCGAGGAAGGGAAGGACCAAAAAAAAAAAAAATCCTCCAAATTCCAAACAAGGTTCAAAACGTAGTTATATTAATTCTTCCGTTCTAAACTGAAATAACACTATTATGAAGAAATGGAAATGGGTAAATTTCGAAATCTCAATAGTTCTTTGTTGGGTTTAGAAAAAAATGTTAGATGTTTTAAGCTGTTTAGATTGATTATAACCATTTTTTTTATCTAAGTCACTTTAAAAAGGAGATATTTAACATAGACCAGAAAGTTCGAAATTTCAAGGTTTTCAAGGGCGGAAACTTGGATTTTTTACGTTCACTACATGCCTAACAATATAAAAAAAAAAACCGTATCAGATAAATACAAAATAACGATCTTCGGAGCCCTCCGAAGGGGCCTCTTTATCTTTTTTTTCTCGTCGGCCCAAGATTCCCACTTAAGTCCTATACTGCCTCTATCATTTTTTAAAATGTACAAAACATTTATGTTGGTCTGAGCCCCAAAAAATGTTCGGACATAAATGAATACAAAACGATTATTTTTTGGGTACTAGAAAATATAGAACAATGATTTTTGAGCTCTCTCCAGGACCCCCCTACCTTAGTGGCCCTCGGCGATCGCCGCCTAGCAGACCTGGTCAGACCGGTCCTGATTCCTAGGCTACCATCAGGTTCTTCAACACTTTGTTCTTGATGAAGAAGAAGTATAAGCCAATAAAGCTGTAGTTAGGTAAAACCTAATATTACTAAACTTTTCAGACTTGGCATATTTATTGGCTACTTTTTGTGAGGGTATAAAACGTATTTGAAAAATCTTTTTATCATTAAAGACAGCCGTAAATTAGGTAGTGCTAATGAAGGACGCAAGAATTTTTACTGTTTTTTAACTGAAGAAGTTTAACTGTTGTTATTTTTACTCATCACTGAATACACAAACTCATTCACCTATATTTAACTTAACTCTATAAATTTTCGCAACTTAATTAATTAAATATTAATTAATTTTAGCGCTTGATTAATAAATATCGGGCAAAAACGTTTGGAGGCCGCAGGAAGGCCGCGGAGGCGACATGCGGTCTAGAAGTATTTAATTAATTCATTAGGCATTCAAAATAAAAAATAAAACTCGATTAAAAGAAAACAAAATGATTGTATTTATCTTTTATTTTTTACATAAATTAGGCCAATTATCACCAAACATTTTATTGATACGCTATTTAATTCGACGTTTCGACCATACTAAGGGTCATTTTCAAGTCTGGAAAATTGTAATATCATTATTAGCTAACATAAACAATTACAACAAGAATTTCTTATCACACTTAATTAACTTGTCTAACGATCTATGACATATAATTTTCGATACACATAAATTTATCCAAATCTATACATGAAAGTATGCACTTTTTCATATAAAAAAAAAAAAAAACCTTTACATTTCGTAACTTTAAACATTAACCCTTACATTAAAAACAATTGACTATTACCTTGATGAATCCTCCGTTATGAATTCATCATTAATGTCGCAAGAAATATGTTCAGTGAACAATGACAATTTAATGTTCACTGATCATATTAGCGTATCAATGAAATATTTGGTGATAATTGGCCTAATTTATGTAAAAAATAAAACCTTAAGACACCAAAATTAGGATAAATGAACAGAAGAAATTTTATTTATCTAATTCTATGTAATCTAGTTAATTCTAGGTATGGAATATCATTTTTTTTACTCTTGGTCATTTACGAAGCTTGGAATAATAAATATACAAAGTATGAAAACAGGAATAATAAAATTAATTAACAAAAAAAATGATTAATATGGTTAAATAAATCTCTGAAAACATTATTATCATTCATATGGAGAGACCTTGACAATGTTTTCTGTATAGGCAATTCTGCAATAAATTAAAAAATATCTTTCATTTAATATTATTATATTTTGTTAGGGTTACTACGTAATGTTTTTTACGATATGTGGCATGGCGAAATATTTTAGCGGCTGGTAACCCTTCATAAAATATTGGCAGCTCTCGATGCGTAGTACG